GGTAGAACCTGTTAGCTGTTAGTGTTAGCTGCTAACGGAGGGAAAAAGACTACAGATGCTACAGCTAGCTGACAGAGAGAGAGAGAGTGTGTGTGTGTGTGAGGGAGCGTGTGTGTGAGGGAGCGTGAGTGTGTGTGAGTGTGTCCGTGTGTGTGTTTAAGTGTGTGTTTAAAGTAAAATCATCTTTATTGAACAAACAGCAGCCCTGAGATGAGGCTAAAGCAGCAGCTAGCAGAGTTAGCTTAGACCTGGATCTGTGTCTGTTTATGATCCTGTCAGGGGTCCGAGTCTCGGTCTGAGGGTCCGCACACTCTCAGGAGGCTCACACCGACTGATAATCGGTGATAAATCCATCACTGATCGATCACAGAGGCTCAGAGAGGAGCAAATAGGATCGATAGATAGAAAAACTACAACCAGACCTGAACAATCCAACTCAGAGTGAAGATTCAGGGAGTTTAAACGGTGAGGATCCGATCGAAGGAGGAATTATTCAGAAACAAAGAGGAGGTTTCTGTTCTGCTGATCACTGTGAGTCTCTTTAAAAGTCTTTGTACTCTTTTAGGAGTTATTTTACTTTGAAAGTCCGAGCTCTCACAGATCCGTCACGATCTTCTGCTCGATTTTAAGGATTTAAGGTTTAAAAACGACTTTTATTCACCTGTAAGAGGTCCGAATCTGTGCCCTATGATATCAGAATTAAGTAACACTCACAGTATTTACTAGGGCCCGACAGATATGGATTTTTGGGGGCTAGCCGATACCGATTATTGGGGGGGGGCGATTACCGATTAAGTGGCCGATTTTTAACATTGTTTTATGAAGCTATAAAAAATACATATATACTGTAAATATCTACAGTATACTATAAACTGTAGATATACTGTAGGTTACTGCTCTTCACGCCGACAGGAAGACTGACTTCAGTTACCCCCTCACTGCCGATCGGTGCCGCCGATCGGTACCACTGTGTCTTAACTCTCGTTCCTCATTTCCGGTCCGGTCTGATCTGGAGACATGCAGCTGCCTCAGTCAGAGAAGTCGCTCGATCACTAATGTGTACTGTTGTTTATTCTACCGTTACTGACGCGGCTAACAGTGTAGCAAGGCTAATAGCAGGTGGCTAACTCTAACTTTAGCTTCATATCCCATGCACAGCCAGCCCAGCGGGGAACATGGTGAAGTGGGTTGAAGTGAAACTTGTTGACTTATTGTGTTTTTCACAAACTGGTTTATTTCCCGTTGAGGCGGACCACTCTCCTCCGTGTCCCTGAGCTGCTGCTTCAGATCCGTCACTCTGCTGTGCTGTGAGGGAGTTAGTGGATGAAGATTGTTAGGAGGTCGCTGTAGCGCCATCTACAGGATAAGTCGGGGAACTTTTCAAATGGCCGAACTAATCAAAGTGAAACCGAATCTTATTTTCCGCTTTTTATTTCTGAAAATATCGGCGAAGATCGGCGAGTTTTGGCCGATTACTGATTAGTCTCAAACGGACTAAACGACTAAAACTGAAACCTCCTCCTCCTCCTCCTCCTCCTCCTCCTCCTCTCCTCAGGGATGATGGAGCGGTTCGATCAGAGACCCGCATTAGTCCATAAAAACAACTGAATATCAGACTGATAATAGAAACAGCAGATTCACAGAGATCAGCTGATTATTACAGAATAATGTCAGAAGAACGACTTCGTCTTAGTTTCAGTGAGTTACAGTGAATATCAGGTTCAAATGAAGTCAATGTTTAGAGTCAATCACAGCATCTAGATGAGTCTAACATCTATGTAATCATAGATCTGTTCATATTTACACAGAGGAACAGTGACGGTCGACAAACGGAGAAGAAACCGAAAGAAAGAGAACATGTAAATAGACGTAAAAACAGCTTTAATCTGCAAACAGCAGAACCTTTAAGATCACAGACGTTTAAAGTTTAACTGATGTGCAGAAACGTTTCATATTTATATTAGTTTGATATTCAGTCAGATTGTAGTTTTACTGACAGATCTGCTCCTCAACGTGACTCACTCTGAGTCTCACTTTGTCTCACATGTTGCAGGATAGAGACGGAGTTTCTGATCCGAGTCTGAGGCTCAGTTCCTCCTTAAACCACAGAGGTCTCCTCAGACCTGCTGACCACAGACGAGCGCTCACAGACGAGCGCTCACAGACGATCACAGACGCTCACAGACGATCATGAAGCTGTTTCAGGATTCTCTGCTTTAATAACTGCGTCTGCTCTGAAACACGCCGTCTGTAGGTGGATGGAAACGTTTCTGATGAAGGTTTCTGACTGTCAGCGAAGAGTTCAATCAGATTTTTCCAGGTGATGATGATGATGATGATGATGATGATGATGATGACTGATATTTACCTGCTGCTCTCGACTGATAACAGCCCAAAACAGAGTCAGATTCAGACGTGTGTGTGTGTGTGTGTGTGTGTGTGTGTGTGTGTGTGTGTGTGTGAGAGAGGAGTTTCAAAACCACCTTCTTCTTTATTTAATCTCACCTGAGGGAGGGTTTAAAGGAGCAGTCTGTAGTTTTTGTCAGCACTGATCAGACTCAGTAGAAATCAAAGATCGTCTTCATCCGTCTGTGTTTGTTTTTCTTCAGGAAGGTCGTTTCCCTGCGGTGTCTCAGACAGGACAAACTAGGAACAGATGCTTTTGTATTTAGAGAGGCTGAAGACGAGGAGGTTGTCGTTGTTGTTGTTGTTGTTGTTGTTGTTGTTGTTGTGCTCAGAAGAATGTGTGTTGATGGACATTTGAGATGCTATCAAAGGTTCTGATTGGCTGATAAGAGGAGAGCAGGCGGCTGATCTATATAACACAGGTCTGTGATGAAGGTTCCAGTTTCACTCTGATGAAGTCCTTATTTTAGGAGGTTTGAGTCTCTTTGGTTCATTTTTTAAACTGGTCTCTAAGTTCAGCTTCAGATGATTTCAAAACGCCGACAATCGTCCTGATTGATCAGACGGGGGGGCGTTTTTGCCTTTATTAGGAAGGACGGTTTAAAAACAGCAGAATTTCCCTTTAACTCCTGTCTTGTTGTGAAAAAAGGAAATGTCCACTCTGTCAGGGGAGTGAAAGTCCGTGAAATATTAGAGGAGTCCCTGTGAGTTCATGAAACTGCAGTTTGAGTCTGTCAGTGACATCCTGCTCACTTTATCGATCTGCTGAGTCAGCGTATCTATCTGCTGAGTCAGCTTATTTATCTGCTGAGTCAGCTTATCTATCAGTGTATCGATCTGCTGATCGTGTGTTCAGATATCAAACCTGTAGATGACCACGAGGAGCAGCAGGAACAGCGTCAGGTCAGCAGGTGTGTGTGACGTCTCTTATTTTGAAGTCTTTTATTTTAAAGTCTTTTATTCTGAAGTCTTTTATTTTGAAGTCTCTTATTTTGAAGTCCCTGATTTAAAAGTCTCTTATTTTAAAGTCTCTTATTTTGAAGTCCCTGATTTAAAAGTCTCTTATTTTGAAGTCTTTTATTTTGAAGTCTCTTATTTTGAAGTCCCTGATTTAAAAGTCTCTTATTTTGAAGTCTTTTATTTTGAAGTCTCTTATTTTGAAGTCTTTTATGTTAAAGTCTTTTATTTTAAAGTCTCTTATTTTGAAGTCTTTTATGTTAAAGTCTTTTATTTTGAAGTCTCTTATTCTGAAGTCTTTTATTTTGAAGTCTCTTATTTTGAAGTCCCTGATTTAAAAGTCTCTTATTTTAAAGTCTTTTATTTTGAAGTCTTTTATTTTGAAGTCTCTTATTTTGAAGTCCCTGATTTAAAAGTCTCTTATTTTGAAGTCTTTTATTTTGAAGTCTCTTATTTTGAAGTCCCTGATTTAAAAGTCTCTTATTTTGAAGTCTTTTATTTTGAAGTCTCTTATTTTGAAGTCTTTTATGTTAAAGTCTTTTATTTTAAAGTCTCTTATTTTGAAGTCTTTTATGTTAAAGTCTTTTATTTTGAAGTCTCTTATTTTGAAGTCTTTTATGTTAAAGTCTTTTATTCTGAAGTCCCCGGTGTTGAGCAGCCCTAAGGTTCAGGGATGCTGACTGGAATATCTGATGACATTTTAACGAAGAGTCTGGACTCTGACGTCCCGTTAAAAGCACTTTTATCTGATCGTGAAGACCATCGAGTCTCTGACCAGACCTGATCCAGGACTCTCACCGGGTAAGAGGTTCCTGGTTGAAGGTTCCTCTCACAGGTTCCTGGTTGAAGGTTCCTCTCACGGTTCCTCTGAATCAGTCGATGCGCTCAGCTCTGAGATGACTAACCCATCAGCTCCTTTTTAAGCACCGAAAGAACCGTTTGAGTCACTTTTTTACGGTCAGTGAACACATCACCGATAAAGCAGAAACGACACAGGTGTGTGTGTGTGTGTGTGTGTGTGTGTGTGTGTGTGTGTGTGTTCAGGCTCTCCTCCTCAGAGAGTTCGATCATCTCTGAACTAAGGCTCTCCTGGAGGGACAAAAAGGTTTCAGCAGAGCGTTTTCTGACTCAAGTTTCACTTCAGTTTGTTCTGCTGTGACACCCCCCCCCCCTCCCCAGGGGGATCAATACAGGTGATCGGATCTCTGAACGGAAACAGACTCAGAACGAACCGAAACCTTTTCACAAACTCAAATGAATCAGAAGAAAAACCAGAGAGCGAGTCGAGCGGCGAGTCGATTTACACGTTTAAACGCCGATTTTATACAAAACCATCAAACTGTTCAGGGACGGGTGAGTTCAGGGACAGGTGAGTTCAGGGACAGGTGAGTTCAGGGACGGTGAGTTCAGGGACAGGTGAGTTCAGGGACAGGTGAGTTCAGGGACGGTGAGTTCAGGGACGGGTGAGTTCAGGGACATGTGAGTTCAGGGACGGGTGAGTTGAGGGACAGGTGAGTTCAGGGACAGGTGAGTTCAGGGACAGGTGAGTTCAGGGACACTTTAGTCTTTTGTCCTTCTAATGTCAGAATCATGTGGTTAAAGAAGGTCCAGGTTCATGTTCTTCATCATGTGTCCTCAGCTCCTCTTCATCAACCCTCTGTAGTTCAGTTTTCACCAAAGACTGACTGCTGACCCTGAAGAGTTTCAACGTATGCAGATGATTCAGTTCTATATGTATATATACAGTTAAAACCACAATAGATGAACTCGTTGTTGTAAATCAGGATCTTTAATCAGCAGTGAAACGTTTAACTGAAGATAAATGAGTTCTTAGTTCTTCTCAGACATCTTTGAGTTTGTGACAAAAACACGTTCATAAAAGAGAAAAACTGAAGCTGTTTGTGGACGACGTGACGGTGGAACAGGTGGACCAAACTGAGAGGAACACTCTTCTGTAGTAAACTGATAGTGATCAATAAAACAGGCAGGAGTCTGACGGTGATCAGGAGATGTGATTGATTAAGAGTCTGATGTTATCAGAGCTCCGTTATCGTTCAGAGGTTTGGTCGTTTGTGATTCATCACTTCAGTGTCCAAACAGACGGATGTTCGTCAAACACAGAACTGAGTCTATTACTGCCTCATCAGAAGATCATCTGTGAGGAAGTTACCCAGAGTTCTTCATGATCGTCTGTGAACATGATTACAGAATCAGACATGATGATACTGAAGGTAAATTCACCTGAAGTGAAAACAAACAAGATTAAAGTACCGTCATGATACAGACGTCTGACCAAGAACAAACAGACTTAAAGATGGAGTTCAACAACAGTTATGAGGCAAACAGATCTTTATTTAGATTTGTTGTTGTTGTCTTTGTGTTTGTTTGTTTGTTTGTTTGTTTGTTTGTTTGTTTGTTTGTTTGTTTGTTTGTTTGTTTGTTTGTTTGTTTGTTTGTTTGTTTGTTTGTTTGTTTGTTTGTGTCTTCGCTCTGAGGTGGAGAGTTAACGGTAAAGTCCAGGGAGAAGAGCGATAACCTCAGCTGAAGCTAACAGAGATCTGAATAAATGAAATGTAGACCTTAGTGGACCCAGCAGACCAGGTTCTGGAGTCTGAAGGTCTGATGTGGTCCCATTCTGGCCTCATAGAGGATTTCAGCAGAACTTCAGGGTCTCCTTGGTCTGGACAGCATCAGTATTTCCTGGTTCTGTCTGGTCTCCTCTCTCATGGTTCAGTTTGAACCTGTTGATGTGGTGACCTCCACCCCAGAGTCCGGTCTGTTTTTAATGTCCTGAAGACCAGGACCGTCCAGTCCTGGTCCTGGTTCTGGTCCTAGTCCTGGTCCTGGTCCTGGTCCCTTTAGTGCCCAGGTTTAATGACCTGATGTTCTGTAGACGATGAACTTTAATCTGAAACTGTTGACCTGTTCGCTCACCTCTGAGAGACTCCGCCCCTCTGACGGTCTGACTTAGACCCGGTCATGTGACCAACCTGCCAGATATTCACCTCATTGATTAGAGACGTTCCTCTAGATGTTTGTGTATCATCAGAACTTCTGACCTGTTTGGTTCTTCCTTTAAGAACTTCTGACCTGTTTGGTTCCTCCTTTAAGAACTTCTGACCTGTTTGGTTCTTCCATCAGATCTTCTTGTTCATGCTGATTTAAAATCTAAAACTGTAGATGTTATTTGATGTTTCCTTCTGAAGATGAACTCAGAGCTGAAGCGTCTCCTTCTTCTCTGCCTGTCAGCTGTAGCGCCCTCTGCTGGTTCTGATTGAACCTGAATCCAAACCTCTTTTGAGGCCCAGACGTTCCAGTCTGTCTTCTTCTTCTTCTTTGTGTATTTTTTGCGTATCATCAGCTGGTGTGAGTTAGAGGAAAACCCCGCCGTCTGCAGTGACCTGAAACAGTCCAGTTTCTGTTTCTGTGAAGTCTTCACACGCTGCTGCTCACTGAGCGCGCTCAGATCTCAGTCACAGTCAGACTCGGACCTGCAGCTGAACGTCCTCTCAGACTGAAACTGAAGGACTGAGCTGCTTTTTTTAATAGGAGGGGGTTTTCCTGAGTGGACCGGGTCCAAACCAGGGGGACCGGAGTATTTACCGGGTCCAACAAGACTTTATGTCCGAGGATTCTGACGCAGTTAGAAAACACAGGATTATAAACTAACAGGATTATAATTAACATGATTTAAATGAACATGATTTTATACTAACAGGATTATAAACAACATGATTTTAACTTAAGTGATTATAACGAGCATGATTATTACAAACATGATTTTAAAAAACACTTTTCTAACTAAAAGATTTTAACTAACATGATTAAAAACAACTAGATTTAATTTAACAGGATTTTTAATAATAACATTTTAACTAAAATGATTTTAACTAACATGATTATAAATGACAGGATTTTAACTGAAGTGATTATAAGTAACATGATTATTAAACATGATTTTGGTTGACATGAAAAAACTTTAAACCACATGAATTAAGAGAACCTGATTTTAAATAACACTATTTTAACTAACACTATTTTAACTAACATTATTATATTTAACATGATTTTAACTAATGTAATTTTGTAGAAACATGATTAATTTTTGATTTTCAGGAACAAACATTCACAGAAATCTGATTTATTACATTTCAAGTTTCTGGAGTTCTGTGAAAAATTAGAGAGAGAGAGAGGACAAACTGTGTGTGTGTGTGTGTGTGTGTGTGTGTGTGTGTGTGTGTGTGTGTGTGTGTGTGTGTGTGTGTGTGTGTGTGTTAATGATGCAGGCTGTGGAAAAGCCCCTAGCATCCCCACAGCCAAGCCCTGACAGGATGTGAGTTTTGTTCGTTGTGTGTGTGTGTGTGTGTGTGTGTGTGTGTTGGTGTGTGTTAGTGTGTGTGTGTGTGTGTGTGTGGATCAGCTGATCTCGTGGTCAGGGAGAAGGTGAAAGGTCACATGTCTCTGTGTTTTAACATGTCTTCGTCGGTCTTTGACTAAAAATGTGATTTTTTAATTTTGACTTCCAGCAGGTTCAGAATGAGTCGGTTTATTCTGAGGATCCCGGGTTCATGCAGACGCTCTTTCAGCTCTTCTGATTGGATAAAATCGTGTTATCAGAATTATAGCCATGAGTAGAAACCCCCTCTCGTTGGTCTCCTGTATGTTTGTGTATTTTTCTGTCATTAGAGCTGAGCTGAGGGGTTTCCACTCACAGATTATTATGGAAAGAAGTGAAAGCAGCACATTCGAACCCTGCAGTGTCAGAGAGGGAGACGGTCTCCTTTCAGTCAGGAACAAAACCATCAAACACCTGAACGAGAACTGACATAAACTATAACTGAAACTGAAGGGATCAATAAAGTGAAAATAACTGGAACTGAAATGATAAAATAGATAAATAACAAATAATAAATACAGAAAAAATAATAATCATGATCATAATAATAATAATAATAAATAAAATAAATAATAATTAAATAATAACAATAATAAACATCATACTAATAATAATAATAATAAACTAAATAATAATAATAATAAATAAAATAAATAATAATAAAATAACAATAATAAACATCATAATAATAATAATAAAATAAAGAAGAAGAAGAATAAATCAGTGAAAATAGTAATAATACTAATATCAATAATAAAATAAATAAATAATAATAAAATATTAATAATAAAATAAATAAATAAATAATAATAAAATATTAATAATAAAATAACTAAAATCACTGAAACACCTGAACTCTGCTGGACTTTGACCTCTGACCTCTGACATGTCCCCCCTCTCAGGTCATGTCAGCGGGGAGGAGTGCTGACGGGAGGGAGGTGCAGATTCCCCTCCAGCAGGTGGCGCCCTCCATGGCTGCGCCCCTCACGGTGGTCCCGCCCATCACGCCACCCTCACACCGCCCAGCCAATCCCTGGCCTCCCAACGACCCCAACAGTTCACAAGGTAAGCGCTCGAACACAGGCTGCTCTCTGATTGGCTTTGAGGTTGATTGATTAACCGTGTGTGTGTGTGTGTGTGTGCATGCGCTCAGGTGTTCCCGCAGGTTTCCTCCCCCTCCACGGAGGATTCAGGGATCACTTCGTAGAAACTCCGGAGGCGAAGTACTGCTGCGAGGCCTGCAGGCTGGTCCTGTGTCAGCCGCGGCAGACCGAGTGTGGACACCGCTTCTGTCAGAGCTGCATCAACGACATCCTCAGGTGAGACTGACCGACAGGTGAGACTGACGGACAGGTGGACAGACTGACGGACAGACAGGTGGACAGGTGATTCAGAGCTGAATCTAACTGAACGTTTCCGTCTCCTCCTCAGTCATTCTAACCCCGTGTGTCCCGCCGACATGGAGCCTCTCTTTAAAGACAAGGTGAGCAGGAAGTGACGTCGCAGCAGAGGTCGAATCCAGGCTGCTGATTGGTCGGTTAAAGCTCCTCTGTTTGTGTCTCAGATCTTCAGAGACGTTTGCTGTCATCGGGAAATCATGGCGCTGAAGGTCTACTGTCGCAGCGAAGCCAACGGCTGTCAGGAGCAGATGAGCCTGCAGCAGATACCTGTAAGACAACACGCCGTTACCGTGACAACCGCTCTCTGAGTGGATGTGGGGCGTCCTGGTTTTGACCGGTCTAACTCAGACAGACTCTGGTTTGTGTTTGTCCCTCACCTGTCCGTGTCTCTCCCCCCCGTCAGGACCACCTGAACGTGTGCCCGTTCTTCGAGGTCCCCTGTCCTCTGGGTAAATGTAAAGAGCGGATGATGAGGAAGGAGATCCCGGACCACCTGAACTGGAAGTGTAAACACAGAGAGACGGGCTGTGAGTTCTGCCTGACCAAGATGCCTCTGACGGACCTGCAGGTGAGTCCGGATCCTCCGGTCCATGAGCCTCAGTCAGGGAGGACGGCTGCAGGTTTTTGTTTCCATGAAAAAAGACGAATAAAGTTTTTTTGTTGTTGTTTTTTTACAGAAGCACAAAGAGACGGTGTGTCCGGCGTTCCCGGTGTCGTGTCCCAATCACTGCTCCTTCTCCTCTCTGCCCCGCAGTGAGGTACGATCCGCCTCCTCCAATCAGACACGCCCCTGTATCCACCTGTCCAATCCCTCGTCAAACTCGTTAACCTCGTTACCATGACGATTAATGACTGTTTTTCTCCTTCAGCTCTCCAGTCACCAACACGACTGTCCCAAAGCTCAGGTCAGCTGTCAGTTCCACCGCTACGGCTGCACCTTCAAGGTAACTCCTCCTCCTCCTCCTCCTCATGTTTCCTCCTCTTCTCCTCCTCCCCTCCTCCTGTTCCTCCTCACAGTGTTCCCAGTAGTCCCAGTGTTCCCAGTGTTCCCAGCGTCTTCTCTGTGTTTCTTTGTTCAGGGTTTGAATCAGGACATGAGGCAGCACGAGTCGACCTTCGCCGCTGAACACCTGAGGATGATGGCGAGCAGGAACTCAACACTAGAGAAAAAGGTCAATAAACTAACTAACTAACCAACTAACGCCAACTCAAGAACTAACGAATTAACTAACTAACCAACTAACTTATTAACTAACCAACCAACTGAGTGGCTAACGAACAAACTAAGTAACACTAGAGAAAAAGGTCAACAAACAAAGTTACTAACTATCCAACTAACTAACTTATTAACCAACCAATGAACTAACAAACCAACTAGCTGACTAACTTACTGACACACAATAACCAACAAACTAACAAACTAGCTATTCAACTAACTAACCAATTATCAACTATCTTGTTAATTACCAAATAATTTACACACCAACTCACTAATGAGCTAAATAACTAACTAGCTTATTAACTAACTAACTAGCAAACGAACAAACCAACGTACTAACTTACTTTCTAACTAAATAATTAACTAATGAATGAACCAACTAACTAACTACCTAGCATATTAACTTATTAACTAGCAAGCGATCGAACTAAACTAGCTAACTGACTAACTTGCCAACAAACTAACTTTCTTACTAACTTAAACACTATTTGACCTACTAACTAACTAACTAGCTAACTAACAAACTAACTTTCTAACTAACTAAAGAATGAACCGAGAAACTTACTAACTTACGAGTGATCAAACCAACTAACTAACGAACAGATAAATAAACTAACTTAGTAACTAGCAGCTGTTTGTGGCTGCAGCTCTGGAGAACGTCACGTTGTCTGACCTGCGTCTCACCTGTGCCCCGCCCCCTCCTCAGGTGGAGGACGTTAAAGGCGAGCTGTTGGAGCGGTACAAAGTTCTTCCTGCTCTGAGCAGCCGTCTGTCCGAGCTGGAGAACCAGAACGACGAGCTGCGAGAGAAGAACCGGCAGATGGAGCAGAAACTGGCCGCCATGCAGGTACGAGAGTCCGCCTGCACAACACCTGTCCACCTTAGCCCCGCCCCTAAACTCAGCAGCCAATCCGCTCTCTCCTTACAGAAGCTGATGAGCTCTCACTCAGAGAAGCTGATGGAGGTGGAGCTGGAGATCCGGGCGCTGCGAGTCCTCAGGGACGAGGTGGAGAACCTGAGGGGGACGCTGGACAACGTCTGGACCCGGCTGAACGCTCTGGAACAGGGGGGACGCAGCGGGACCGGGTCCACCACGCACACTCTGGGTCAGGACTCACACACACACACACACACTCTGGGTCTCTGGTTCTGGTCTGACCCTGGTTCTGGTCTGACCCTGGTTCTGGTTCTGGTCTCTGCAGCGTCTCTGGAGGCTCAGCTGAAGCGGCAGGACGACATGCTCAGCGTCCACGAGATCCGATTGGCCGACATGGACCTGCGCTTTCAGGTGCTGGAGACGGCGAGCTACAACGGGACGCTAATCTGGAAGATCCGCGACTACAAGAGACGGAAACAGGAAGCGGTGGCGGCGAAGACGCTGTCGCTGTACTCGCAGCCGTTCTACACGGGGTACTTTGGGTACAAGATGTGCGCCCGCGTTTACCTGAACGGAGACGGGATGGGGAAGGGGACGCACCTGTCGCTGTTCTTCGTGGTGATGAGGGGCGAGTACGACGCCCTGCTGCCCTGGCCCTTTAAGCAGAAGGTAGCGAGCGCTCGAACGGCAGGTATCACTTCCTGTTAGTGTTGTCGGTGACGCTGACTCACCTGTGTTTACCTGTCAGGTGACTCTGATGCTGATGGATCAGGGTCCGTCCAGGAAACACCTGGGCGACGCCTTCAAACCCGACCCCAACAGCAGCAGCTTCAGACGCCCGGTGGCGGAGATGAACATCGCGTCGGGTTGTCCGCTCTTCGTGTCTCAGAGCGTCTTAGAGACCGGCAGCTACATCAAAGACGACACCATCTTCATCAAGGTGAGGCCCCGCCCACTCCTGCTCAGGCCACGCCCACTCCTGATAGATTAGTTATTGAAGTTTAAGGACTAGTTAGCGAAGTTAACGTGGGTTTAAAGACGAGTTGTGGAGTTGATTTCCTAACCTAACTGCGCTCTCTTCTGATTGGTCGGTTCTTCAGGTTACCGTTGATACCTCTGACCTGCCTGACCCGTGACGTTGCGACCCCTCTGACCTTTGACCTGGCTGGTCTAAGATCAGCCGACCTGTCCATGCCCAGCAGAGCAAAGGATGATGGGAAGGATCGGAGACAGTGGAGGAGGCTCGTCGGTCGGAGCGACGCCAACAGAAGAAGAAAAAGAAGAAGAAGAGCGAGACAGGAAGCAGCCAATCAGAGTGAACTTTACAGAGACCAGAGGGCGGGGCCTCTTCTGATTGGCTGCTGGACTACAGAACAGTGTGTGTTTGTGTGAATGGATCAGTGTTACCATGACATCACCATGGTGATATCACTCAGAGCCAACATGGCCGCCGCATCCGGGACGTTGTTGCTGCTCATTACTGATGCCGTGCATCAAGCTTTACTTCCTGTATATTACCTGTTTACCAAGGCATGCTGGGAAATCCTTGCAGCCACAGGGGAGCTTAGAACGCCTGTGGAGACCGGTCTAAACCAGTCCAGACCAGGAGGACCTGAGGGGTGGCCTCCCCTGAGGGTGGTCCAAAGTTCTGGTTTGTTTACAGTAGAAATCAGCTGGTTCCCAGTCGAAGGTCCCGGTCCGGTCCGGTCTGGTTTTTCGGTCCGGTCTGGTTTTTCGCTCCTCTGCGGTTTCAGAGATTTTCGGCTCGGACAGAAATCAGCTGACTCATCGTTTCATTTGCACAGTTTGGATGTTTGTTCATGTGTGAAAATAAAAGTCTCATAAAAACTAAAATCTACTTTTATTTCATTAAAAAACACAAATCTGTCGGTCAGACATCTTAGACTGTATTTATGACGGACAGCTTGGCTCCGCCTTCCTCCAGTATTCCGATTTAAAGCCGAAAAGTTCTCGGTAATTTCGCGTTTTTTTCTCCACTTCCTGAAACCAACATTGTGCAGAAGCGTTGTAGCCGCTGTGATGACGCTCATCTCAAACAGCGTATCCCCCCGGGTGGTGATTAAAAAAGAAAAAATTGTAGGACAGCAGGGGAATGTCCCGCCCTCTATCGCCTCTGATTGGCTAGAAGTGCTGGGTTCTGATTGGTTATTTCTAATAACTGTGAAACGTCATCGTCAGTCAGGTTAGGGTTAAGACAGAGCCGGCCCAAGGCATTGGTGAACTAAACGCCTGCTTAGGGTCCTGTGGCCAATAGGGGGCCCCCAAGAGCAGTAAAAAAGAATAATACTTTTTTATTTTTTGCACATATGAGTGATTTTTTCTGTCTGATCAAATAAATATTATTGTAAAAATAAAATAAAATCATTTTAGTGCTGCTGCTGATGTAGGCCGATGATTCTTACTAACTACCATTCTCCTCCACCAGAGGGCGCTGTTCTCAGAGTGGCTTAAGGTCTGAGTCTAAGGATCACTGTTTAACACAGTATATCACGACAAAAATAAGGAACATTGTCGGAGTAATTTATTCATTAATTTTGGGCCTTTTCGCGTTTTTAAAAACATGTTCTGTTATTCAGCTCGTTTTAAAAGTGAAACATAAAATAAAAAATCCATTTTTATCCACGTCTAACACTTTATCATCGAACAGCAGGGGGCGACATCCACTCTCCCCGGAGCTGTTTGACCCTCTTTAACACCAACGAAGAAGAAACGGTCCTTAGGAGTAGAAGAAGAAGTGGAGGAGGAGGAGCAGCGGTGTTAGTTTGGAGTTATTTACCATCAAACTTCTTTTAAACTTTGACAGAAACTCCTAAAAACACCAGAATCAGGAGTTTTCAGCGGAGCTTTCTCCTCTCCGGATCAGAGCCGGTGTTCCGGACCGTTCGGCGGGATTCGGTGAGTTAAAGAGCGGGTTCGATGTTTGTGGAAGAGCTAACAGCTAAGCTAACAGGCTAACTGACTGATTTACCCCAAAATAAGAGTAAAACTTTGATATTTAAAGAGTAAAAAAGAAGTTAAAAAAACAGCCAAAATACTCTGATTTAACAGCAGGATTTAAACTATTAACGGACAATAATTATGAACTATTTCATGTTTGTTAAAGAGTTTTTCTAAAGTTTATCATATAAACTGTTTAAACCCGGAGAGATCAGGACGGGACCAGGTTCATTAAATTTACCATGAAGCTCAAAAAGAGTCTAAATGAAGAGATTCAGACCCAGAAATAAAAGAGTGAACTCAGACTGACCCCAGATCAGCTGATTATTCATTTATATTTATCAGACTCTGTTTTTATCAACAGTTTTGTCTGATTCAGAGTCTCAGGGTTCAGATATGTTCGGTTATATTCATCCTCTCTGCGGTCAAACAGCTGAAACATCCTCCGGTGAACTCCTCTGAAACACTTTACTGACTTTACCGCCGTTTACTGAGGAGACTCCAGTCCTGATTTACTGGCTGGTTTTGTTGAGGCTGTTTCTCCGGCTGCTCAGCTGATGTTTCGACCTTCTCCTCCCTCCTGCGCTGTGATTGGTCGACCTGCAGCTCGTGGATAATCCGGTTCGGTGTGAGAGGTCAGTAACTCTTTTGTTTTTCTCTCTTTTCTCAGATCAAAATGTTTTTCCTCAAGACTTTTCCTCGGAGTCGACCTGCAGCTCTGCAGCTCCTCCTCCTCCTCCGCCTGTCCTCCTCCTCCTCACACTCTGTACCCACTCTCACTCTGTTCACCAAGGTAACGACAGCTGATGTCTCACTGTTTAACGTTATTTAACTAACATAGATATGAGTTACATAGATGTTGGTTTATCGAGTCCCTCTTCTGGAACCTCCGGTTTGGTGGAGATCATCTTCCTCCATGTTTCCCTCAGATTGAGATTAAATTTCTGTTGACTCACCGGATTATTTTTAAAACATGTTCGGTTCTAGAATGTTGGATTCTAGACTGTTTAGTTCTGGAATGTTGGGTTCTTGAATGTTGAGTTTTAGAACCCTACATTCAAGAATGTTCTAGGAGGTTCTAGGAGTCTGGGTTCTGGAATGTTTGTTTCTAGACTGTTTGGTTCTGGAATGTTGGTCGTGGAGGTCGCTGAGGTTTCTTAAAGAGACAGTAGCTGAAATGAGGGTTTTCAAAGAGTCCAATCAGAGACCAGGACAGAGTTCTGAGCTCCAGATCCGGTACAGAGACTCTGGGTCTATCAGAGGGGGGGCAGACTGAGTGAACTTAATGAACGCTGACGCCCCTCCTCCACATCCTTAATGATCTGAAATGTTTCTTCGTTCTGTGACCCGGTTCTGTTGATGTTGACCCGGTTCTGTTGATGTTGACCCGGTTCCTGTTTTTGTGTTCTGTGTGTAGGACCCGTGTCCTCTGTGTGATGATGCTAAAGAAGAACTGGAACCGCTCAGACACCGGGTAAGACTCTCATGCATCACAGTTTCACGCTCAGAACCAGAACCAGAACCAGAACCAGATTCTGGTTGTCCTCTCAGTGAGAGTCCCCCCTGACCCGGTTGTCCCTCCTCTCCTCTGTCCGTCTTCAGTTTGTTCTGCAGCAGGTGGACATCACCCTCCCGGAGAACAAGCTGTGGTGGGACCGGTACCGGTACCACATCCCTGTGTTCCACCTGAACGGACAGTTTGTGATGAAACACCGAGTGGACCTGGTTCTGCTGGACAAACTGCTGACGGAGGTGGAGACAAAAGGACCCGAGGACGGTTCTGAATGACTGAACTTAATCAATAAACTGAAGTCCAATCAAAGTGTCTGTACTGAGCCTTCTTTCTGACGACCAATCAGAACAGCTCCTCACTGTGAGGTCACATTACATCATCGGATATTTAGGTTCTGATCGGGTTAAATCTGGTTACAAAGAGGGTGGAGCTAACAGAGCTGTGAGCCAATAGGAGTTTAAGATCATTGATTAGTTTCAATAGAAAATCAATAACCTCCTCCTGTTCAGTCTCCGATCAATAAATCTAAACCAACCTGACACTCTCTCTCACCTGAGTCACCTGATCCTCTGAGCTCATCTATATTTGATCAGCTGTTGGGCTGTCGGCCAATCACAGCGCTCCTCCACCTGTCTGACCTGGAAGCACTGAGCCGGTGTGGAGTGTTGTGGTCGTCGTCATGGAGACGCTCAGGTGTGCGCTCACACAGGTGGAGGTGTGCTGATGGCGTCGAGCTGCAGCAGAGCTGAAGACGTTCATGTGGCGCTGCAGCGAGCGAAGAAGAAGATCAGCAACCTGCAGCGGCAACTGGACCAGTAAGAGAGCGAGAGAGCGCCGGTGTGTCTGATGTCTGAGGGAAACTGGTCTGAAACTGGTTTAAAACTGGTTTAAAACTAAGTCTGAAACTGGTTTAAAACCGAGTCTGAAACTGGTGTAAAACTGGTCTTAAAACTGAGTCTGAAACTGGTTTAAAACTGGTCTGAAACTGAGTCTGAAACTGGTTTAATACTGAGTCTGAAACTGGTTTAAAACTGGTCTGAAACTAAGTCTGAAACTGGTTTAAAACTAGTTTAAAACTAGTCTGAAACTGGTTTAGTACTGAGTCTGAAACTGGTTTAGTACTGAGTCTGAAACTGGTTTAAAACTGGTCTTAAAACTGAGTCTGAAACTGGTTTAAAACTGGTCTTAAAACCGAGTCTGACACTAGTTCAAAACTGATCTAAACTGGTCTGAAACTGGTTTAATACTGGTTTAAAACTAAGTCTAAAAACTGGTTTAAAACTAGTCTGACACTGGTTTAAAACTAAGTCTGAAACTAGTTTAAAACTGATCTAAACTGGTCTGAAACAGGTTTAAAACTAGTTTAAAACTAGTCTGAAAGTGGTGTTAACTGGTCTGAAACTGGTTTAAACTGGTCTGAAATTGTTGTATAACTAGACTGATCCTGATCTGAACCTGGTCTGAACTCAAACCTGATGCTGGTCCTGAACTGGTCTGATCCAGATCTAAACAGGCACATGAAACCTGCCTGGACCTGATCTGAATGTAGTCTTCACCATCTGCCATAAAACTGGTTTAACTGGTCTGATACTGGTCTGATACTGGTCTGAACCTGGTTCTAATGTGGTGTCAAAAGAGGTCTGAACTACCAGCCTTAATCCAGAACTGGTCTGTGATCCTGAACCCATCCTGGTCTGACAGGAGTCTGAACCCGGTCTGATCCTAATCTGGTCCACGTGGTTCTGAAACTGGTCTGTAATGGATCTCATCCCAGTTAAAAAACTGGTCTGAACTGGTTTGTCGTAAACAGCTGATGATCAAACAGATTATTGATGAATGTGATCGGAAAGATCAGCTGATCGTCTCACTGAGGAATGCTGGGTAATCTGTGGGGTCAGATTAAACATCATGTGACCTGCGGATCATGTGATCAGAACTGTGGTCTGAGTGGAAACTGACCCAGTTTAACCAGTCTGAGGTCATGTGACTGAACGCACGTGTGTGTGTGTGTGTGTGTGTGTGTGTGTGTGTGTGTGTGTGTGTGTGTGTGTGTGTGTGTGTGTGTGTGTGTGTGTGTGTGTGTTTCTGTTCCCAGAGAAACCAGTTCAGTGAGTCCAGCAGAGACCAGTCTGTCAGCATGGACGCCCAGCAAGGAGCTCCGGGACACTCTGGTGGACATGTACACAGGTAAAATACTCCAGGTACTACAGATAATACTCCAGGTACTCCAGATAATACTAACACTCCTCCAGTCCTTGTAGTTCCTGTCTTTACTCCGTCTCAGACGTCTCTCTGGTTTAGTCTGATATGAAGCAGCAGGAATGAGCAGCTGAACTGGTTTGACTGGCTTCACTGGTTTATTCAGACTGGGGAGGGACACCTGAGGGTAAGGCTGAGCATTAGGGTGTACTGAGCCAAAGTGTCCACTGGGTGGAGCTGTGGACCTGCAGAACATTCGAATACAACATTCATCACTTCACGGCCTCGACCCTCAAACCAGGAGAACCTGTTTTCAGGTGCGCCACAGTCAGAGACAGGAGGTCAAAGGTCACAGCTGTACATATACTAACGAACTACAGCTGTGTAGTATTTTTGTGTATTTGTACTTCAAGTACTGCAGAGACCAAGGGATGATTTAGAGACGTGATCGTTTCTTCAGTTTCAGGAGGAACATCACGTCTTTGACCTGACCGGAGTCAAGAACTGGTTTGAACTGGTCAGCAGGTGAAGGTGTGGATGTTCAGTCTTCCTTTAGGTCCTCAGTCTGAACCCAAAAAATCCAACCAGAGAAAAACTCAGAACAGAAATGGACAAAAACCTACGGTGGCCGAGAACCGAGAACCGAGAACCGAGAACCGAGAACCGCCACTGCTGCAAAGAAAAAAGAATGAAGAAAAAAAAAACACAACGGAAGTTAACGACGCAAAAAAACAAACAAACAACAAAAAAACCACAACAGAAGTTAACGACGCAAAAAAACAAACAAACAACAAAAAAACCACAACAGAAGTTAACGACGCAAAAAACAAACAAACAAACAAAAAAACAACACAAAAAACCCCAAAAAGAAACGGTGCAGAATTTTAAAAAAGCCACAAAGGAAGTTTAGATGTTTGTGTAGATTTTTGGATGTTTGTGTAGTTGTTGCGTAGATGTTTGTGTATATATTGTGTAGATGTTTGTGTAGTTGTTGTGTAGATGTTGTGTAGTTGTTGTGTAGATGTTTGTGTATATATTGTGTAGATGTTTGTGTAGATGTTGTGTAGATGTTGTGTAGATTTTTGTGTAGTTGTTGTGTAGATGTTTGTGTAGATGTTTGTGTAGATGTTGTGTAGATGTTTGTGTAGTTGTTGTGTAGATGTTGTGTAGTTGTTGTGTAGATGTTGTGTAGTTGTTGTGTAGATGTTTGTGTAGATGTTGTGTAGATGTTGTGTAGTTGTTGTGTAGATGTTTGTGTAGATGTTGTGTAGTTGTTGTGTAGTTGTTGTGTTGTTGCTGTGTAGATGTCGTGTAGTTGTTGTGTTGTTGTGTAGATGTTTGTGTAGATGTTGTGTAGATGTTTGTGTAGTTGTTGTGTAGATGTTTGTGTAGATATTGTGTAGATGTTGTGTAGTTGTTTGTGAAGTTGTTGTTTAGATGTTTGTGTAGATGTTGTGTAGATGTTGTGTAGTTGTTGTGTAGACGTTGTGTAGATGTTGTGTAGATGTTGTGTAGTTGTTGTGTAGTTGTTGTGTAGATGTTGTGTAGATGTTGCGTAGATGTTTGTGTAGATGTTGTGTAGATGTTTGTGTAGTTGTTGTGTAGTTGTTGTGTAGATGTTGTGTAGATGTTGTGTAGATGTTGTGTAGTTGTTGTGTAGTTTTTGTGTTGTTGTTGTGTAGATGTTTGTGTAGATGTTGTGTAGTTGTTGTGTAGATGTTGTGTAGATGTTTGTGTAGTTGTTGTGTAGTTGTTGTGTAGATGTTTGTGTAGATGTTGTGTAGATGTTTGTGTAGTTGTTGTGTAGATGTTTGTGTAGATATTGTGTAGATGTTGTGTAGTTGTTTGTGAAGTTGTTGTTTAGATGTTTGTGTAGATGTTGTGTAGATGTTGTGTAGATGTTGTGTAGATGTTGTGTAGATATTGTGTAGTTGTTGTGTAGTTGTTGTGTAGATGTTGTGTAGATGTTGCGTAGATGTTTGTGTAGATATTGTGTAGATGTTTGTGTAGTTGTTGTGTAGATGTTTGTGTAGTTGTTGTGTAGTTGTTGTGTAGATGTTGTGTAGATGTTGCGTAGATGTTTGTGTAGATGTTGTGTAGATGTTTGTGTAGTTGTTGTGTAGATGTTTGTGTAGTTGTTGTGTAGTTGTTGTGTAGATGTTGTGTAGTTGTTGTGTAGATGTTGTGTAGCTGTTTGTGTAGTTGTTGTGTAGTTGTTGTGTAGATGTTTGTGTAGATATTGTGTAGTTGTTGTGTAGTTGTTGTGTAGATGTTTGTGTATATATTGTGTAGATGTTTGTGTAGATGTTGTGTAGATGTTGTGTAGATGTTGTGTAGATGATTGTGTAGATGTTGTGTAGTTGTTGTGTAGATGTTGTGTAGATGTTTGTGTAGATATTGTGTAGTTGTTGTGTAGTTGTTGTGTAGATGTTTGTGTATATATTGTGTAGATGTTTGTGTAGATGTTGTGTAGATGTTGTGTAGATGTTTGTGTAGATATTGTGTAGATGTTGTGTAGTTGTTGTGTAGTTGTTGTGTAGTTGTTGTGTAGATGTTGTGTAGATGTTGTGTAGCTGTTTGTGTAGTTGTTGTGTAGATGTTGTGTAGTTGTTGTGTAGATATTGTGTAGATGTTTGTGTAGATGTTGTGTAGATGTTGTGTAGATATTGTGTAGATGTTTGTGTAGATATTGTGTAGATGTTTGTGTAGATATTGTGTAGTTGTTGTGTAGTTGTTGTGTAGATGTTGTGTAGATGTTTGTGTAGTTGTTGTGTAGATATTGTGTAGTTGTTGTGTAGTTGTTGTGTAGCTCTTTTGACTCCAGGAGGTTTCCTCTCCTCAGACTTCGGTGAAGGTCTGTGACTCTTTGGCTTCTCCCGCTCTTATTTTGAAGGTGACCCACTTCCTGTGGTTCCTGGTTGGTCCAGGTAAAGGTGTGTCGGCTGACTAAAGTTCAGTATAGATCTAGAGTTTATAGATCCTACAGTATGATGTGTGTGTCCTCTTCACTCGGAGTGTGTGTCTTGCTCGTCGAGCGTCTCTCCGTCCTCTGTCGGTAATCTGGTGATCCTCCGTGGGCGCCGAGCGTCTCTCCTCCTCCTCGCCGTAATCTCTCGTGTAAATGGCGGTCGAGGACGTGGGTATATTTGGAGTTTGACTTTGTGCTTCTTCAGACGTGTTTGCAGAAACGTCGGCTGTGAACTCAGAGGATCACACCTGCTGGGACCGACCGCGGGCCTGATCAGCTGTTACCACGGCAACAAGCCCCGCATTCGACCCCGGCATCCACAACACGCGGGTCAACACGCGGTCAAACACCCGACATATGAACCCGTGTCCACCTGCTGATGTCACGGCGTCTACCTGCTGATGTCGCCACCTTTAACCTCTGATGATGTCACAGAGTCAGGAGGGGAACACCTGAGATTCAGTCCGCCGCTCACCTGAGGGAGGGAGGGAGGAGAGGGGAGGGAGGGAAGGAGGAGAGAGTAGGAAACAAGGAGAGAGGAGGAGGAGTGACAGGAGGAGGAAACAGAAGGAGAGAGGGAACCAGGGGAGTGAGGAAGGAGGAGGAAGACGGAGGAGGAAGAAGGAGAAGTTTCATTAACGCAGGAAATCATGGTGTCATCAGCAGGTCAACATGAGTGAACTGTTCAAAAACGACGACCATATATGGGCGAAAAGGAAGTGAAGAGCTTCAGTGAACGAGACGCTTTAATTATTTATGAATGAAATAAACAAACAAGTGAAGGTCCCAAAAACTGACCCTGAGGAACGAAGGGAGAGAAAAAGAGGAGGGAGAGAAAGAGAGGAGGGAGAGAAAGAGAGGAGAGAGAGGAGGGAGAGAAAGAGAGGAGGGAGAGAAAGAGAGGAGGGAGAGAAAGAGAGGAGGGAGAGAAAGAGAGAGGAGGGAGAGAAAGAGAGGAGAGAGAGAAAGAGAGGAGAGAGAGAAAGAGAGAGGAGGGAGAGAAAGAGAGGAGGGAGAGAAAGAGAGAGGAGGGAGAGAAAGAGAGGAGAGAGAGAGAGGGAGAGAAAGAGAGGAGGGAGAGAAAGAGAGGAGGGAGAGAAAGAGAGGAGGGAGAGAAAGAGAGGAGAGAGAGAAAGAGAGGAGGGAGAGAAAGAGAGGAGGGAGAGAAAGAGAGGAGGGAGAGAAAGAGAGGAGAGAGAGAAAGAGAGGAGGGAGAGAAAGAGAGGAGGGAGAGAAAGAGAGGAGAGAGAGAAAGGGAGAGAAAGAGAGGAGAGAGAGAAAGAGAGAGGGAGAGAAAGAGGAGGGAGAGAAAGAGAGGAGAGAGAGAAAGAGAGAGGGAGAGAAAGAGGAGGGAGAGAAAGAGAGGAGAGAGAGAAAGAGAGAGGGAGAGAAAGAGAGGAGGAAAAAGAAAGAGAGGAGAGAGAGAAAGGGAGGAGAGAGAGAAAGAGAGGAGAGAGAGAGAGCAGAATTATGAGGAGAGAAGAAGAAGCTTCAGGACAATAAAAAGAAAAGAGGAACAATGAGAGAGAGGAGAGGAAAAAAGAGGGGGAGGAGGAGGTGTTAACCATCATCATCAGCTGTCAATCATGATCAGGTTAACACACACACACACACACACACACACACAGACAGACACACACAGACACACACAGGCTGGTCAGCAGATTAATATAATGACAGGAGAAGGAGACAAAGGGCGAGCGAGCCTGTGAGTGAATGAAGAGAGAGAGGGAGGAGATGGTCGTGTGAACTGTGTTTAATCTGCAGAGTGGGTGGTCCACACACACACACACACACACACACACACACACACACACACACACACACACACACACACACACACAGTATTGTTAGATGAGGGTGGGCTGCAGACCAGTTTGTTTGATCAGACTGAAGTAGCTGCTATTCATGTCTCTGTGCAGGAATGTGTGTGTGTGTGTGTGTGTGTGTGTGTGTGTGTGTGTGTGTGTGTGTGTGTGTGTGTGTGTGTTGTAGCAGCAGCATGTTGGTGTTCTGCAGGTGTGTGTGGACGTTGTTGTGTGAAGCCCACAGACTGGACTGTGACTCTGACAGTCAGACCTCCTCATCACAACATCCTGCTGTCAGGACACACAAACACACACACACACACACACACACACACACACACACACACACACACACACACACACACACACACACACACACCAGAGTCTGACTCTGGACTGCAGACCCGTCCAGAGTCAGTCAGCACAGAACCCAAACCTTCTTTAGAAGAGCTAACAGACGGACAAACAAACAGATAAAGACGAATAAATGAAGAAAAATCAATAAATACAAATAAATAAAAACAAACAGACAAATATATAAATACAAATAAAGACAAATAAATAAAAAAATACAAATAAATAAAAACAAATAAAGACGAATAAATAAAAATAAACGAAGACAAATGAATAAAAATAAATAAATAAATACAAATAAAAAAATACAAATAAATAAAAAAATATAGACAAAAAATAAATACAAATACATAAATAAATACAGATAAAGACAATGATATATACATATATATATATATATATATATATATCTTTATAAACAGGTGAGTTTGGTCCAGCCTGTGAACATGGATTCAGCTCTACAGTTTTAACATGGGTCTCTATGAGGACTGACTCACGTTTGGACTCAGCCTCTAGTGGACATTTGGGGAACTGCAGTTTTAGGGAACCTGACATGTGATACTTTTCCTCTCTATGGTGCCCTTTAACCTCAGTGATTTGAATGTATCATAAAATCAGTCTTAGTAAATATTTTTAATAGAAATTAATAATAAGAATTTTTTTTAAGTTCCTAAAAGTTTGTGACGTCTGATTGGTTAAAAACATCGACTCTCTGGGAGCTCTCACTTCCTCTCTTTGGTTGTTTCTCTCTTTGGAAAGTAAAAAATCGATCCGCTCCGAGTCCTCGGGTTGGTTATTTGTTCACGGTTTAAGGTTTTAAATGTTTCTGTTCGTACTAAACAAACTTCCTGTGGACGAGTCGTCTCTAATGAAAGGTCTCAAATGTACATCAGTATTTACTGTATGTTTGTCTGTATGAATACATCTGTGAGTGTGAGTGTGTGTGTGTGCGAGTGTGTGCGTCTCTCCTGGGCTTAATGTCGGTATCTAAATTCATGTGCGGCGGCGTGGTGGTGGTGGCGGTGTGGCGGCGGTGCGGTGGCGGGCGGATCACAGGCGGATTGTGTTGGATTTGAGCTGAAGCCTCTTTAATCATCGTAACACCGTCATTAATATTCATGCAGTCAGCTGGAACACCCCACTCTCTCTGCACCAAACTTTCTGCACAAAATGTATTAAATACAGCTTAAAAAATTAATGGATTTTAGTTTATATTACATGAAGAAGAAGGGGGGAGCACGCCGCCCCCGCCTCCCCCCTCCTCTCCTCATTGGCTCACACAGATTGCTCCTCTGATTGGCCTTTGTATTTTCCCTTTTTTCTGCAGATTTTCCATCTTTGACGAGACTTCAAAGCGAGCGCGAGGCATGAACGGTCATTTAGAAGGATTTAAGCACATTATCACATCTGTAATTGTACATGAATAATAAGAGGAGCCGCCGCCGCGCTCAATTAGCTCTGAGTCCACAATGAGATCAGAGGAGGGGGGGGCAGAGGACGACAGGAAATGAGAAAAGTTTCAAAGTGAAGAAATTATTCAATAACTGTTATAATAAGACAGAACCAGAACCAGAGGAAACGCTGCCTTCACTGACCCAGGAACAGAGTCCGATTTATCAGACTCTGAGATACAGAGAGCAGAGCAGAAGAGGGCTTAACTCTAACTCTGTTCACATGTTCTCCTGAGTTCACAAAGTGAGGAGCACAAAGAACAAAAAGGAATAAAAGAAACAGAGAAAACCCAAATCTGCCCCAAACCAACTCCTCATTCCCACCGCAACATCGAAACAGAAACAGGATTAAAGTGTGTTAACTTAAAAAGGGCTCGATATCATGGATACTTGATCGACATAAGTACTATTATTAGAAATCAATTTTTAGGTCTTTTGGTCACATGACAGTGAAGCTATTGAAGGAAAACAGCCTTTTCTGAGAACATCAACCGGTAATTTATTGACGGTCCCTTATTCAACACCCACGTTGACAGTGAGGGTGTCGAGTAGATTTAACCGCGCTGCTGTTGTTATTCCCGGTTATGGAGAGTGAGAAGACACCGGTAGATCCTCAGAGAATGTCCGTCAGATATCCAACCTGAAACTAACTTCACCGCCGTATTTACAGGAAAATATATCCAACCTAAAACTAACTTCACCGCCGTATTTACAGGAAAATATATCCAACCTAAAACTAACTTCACCGCTGTATTTACAGGAAAATATATCCAACCTGAAACTAACTTCACCGCCGTATTTACAGGAAAATATATCGCCGATAAATCGGACCGGCCCGAACTGTTAACCCTTCAAAGACTGAACTGAATCTGCTCCACAGTTCAGGGGCGCCGTGGTCCAGGGTTTCCAAAAGAATACCAGGAACAGTTCTTGGTGGACGGGGAACCTGGACTTCCTTTGACCTGGGTGAATCGCTCTAAAAAGTCCAGGTACCCCGTCAGCGAAGAACTGGATCACCCTGACCCGGATCAACAAGAACCTGAACAGACTCTGATGAAGAGCGTAAACCTCTGGACTCAGTTCTCGGGGATTTTGTAGAGGTCAAAGGTCATCGGCTCAGAAACCTCCTATATTTACCTCTATACCTGTGTGTGTGTGTGTGTGTGTGTGTGTGTGTGTGTGTGTCTCTCCTCTGCACACACACACACACACACACACACACACTCAAACAAACAGCTGACTGAGTGTTTTGTTGCTTACTCTTGACTTAACGAGCGTTTAGCTTGATTTCTGTTTCTGTTTTAATTACACCTGAGGAGCTGCGTTCTGATTGGTCCGTTCCTCAGCGAGAGTCGTTAACCGTCCTTAACGAGGCCTTAACGAGATATTAAAGCCGTGTTTGTTCTGCTGATGAGCTGTAAGCATTTAGAAAGCCGACGTGACGACAGGATTAGAGCTCAGTGATGATGAACACGGAGACGGGGGAGGAGGGGGGAGACAGGTGAGGGGAGGAGAGCACTTCCTGTTCCTGTGTTTCCAGGTAACCGTCAGTCACGCTCGTCTTTGTTTGGATGTTTTCAGCTAATCCCAGAGTGAACGAGGAGCTGCGACAGCGTCTACCTTCACCTGGACGAGAGAGAGGAGGCGGCGGCAGTCCGGACAGGTGAACACAGACACCTGAACACAGACACCTGAACACCTGAACACAGACACCTGAACACAGACACCTGAACACCTGAACACAGACACCTGAACACAGACACCTGAACACAGACACTTGAACACTGACACCTGAACACAGACACCTGAACACTGACACCTGAACACAGACACCTGAACACAGACACCTGAACACAGACACCTGAACACAGACACCTGAACACAGACACCTGAACACAGACACCTGAACACCTGAACACTGACACCTGAACACAGACACCTGAACACCTGAACACAGACACCTGAACACAGACACCTGAACACTGACACCTGAACACAGACACCTGAACACAGACACCTGAACACAGACACCTGAACACAGACACCTGAACACAGACACCTGAACACCTGAACACCTGAACACCTGAACACCTGAACACCTGAACACAGACACCTGAACACTGACACCTGAACACCTGAACACAGACACCTGAACACAGACACCTGAACACAGACACTTGAACACTGACACCTGAACACAGACACCTGAACACTGACACCTGAACACAGACACCTGAACACAGACACCTGAACACAGACACCTGAACACAGACACCTGAACACCTGAACACCTGAACACCTGAACACCTGAACACAGACACCTGAACACAGACACCTGAACACAGACACCTGAACACAGACACCTGAACACCTGAACACAGACACCTGAACACCTGAACACCTGAACACCTGAACACAGACACCTGAACACAGACACCTGAACACAGACACCTGAACACAGACACCTGAACACCTGAACACCTGAACACCTGAACACAGACACCCTCACCTGAACACAGACACCTGAACACCTGAACACAGACTCCTTCTCTTCTCTCCTGCTGTCAGTCTGAAGATCAGAGCTCAGACCTCTTTATTCTCCTCCACAGATCCAGGATCAGCCGGAGTCTGGACCACAACCAACGTCCTGAAGGTGAGTCTGGACCTCATTAGAGAGGGGGAGGAGTTTAGTGATGGACTGATGACCTCAGAGCGGGTCGATCGCAGCAAAAACATGAGAGTCCTGATGTGTGTGTGTCTGTGTCTCTCTCTCTCCTCCAGCTCCTCAGCACCTCCAGGAGCGTCCCACCTCCTGCTCACCTTCCCCTCTGTCTCACAGGAGGTCCGTCTCCCCCGTCTTCCTCAGGAGGTCCGACTCCCCTGTCTCCCCCGTCCTCCTCAGGAGGTCCGTCTCCCCCGGTGTCTCCCCGGTGTCCCCCCGCCCTCTCGGAGGTGTAGGGGAGTCAGAGATGGACCTGTCCCCCAGCCCGGACCCGTCTCCTCGGGCGGAGAGCAGAGGAGATGATGGAGGACGAACATCTCGAGGACCTGGGAGTCCGTCTCTGAGGAGACACCTGCTCAGAACTGAAGACAGGTGAGACCTTCTCCACGTCTTCTTCTACCACGGCGGCGTGGTGGGCGTGTCCTCCAGGGTCTCAGACTGGGACAGGAAGTCAAAGACGCTCCTCAGGTGTGATGATTAAAGCTTGAATGAGTGACTCCGCCTCCTCGTCCGCTCCGATGGCGTCCCTCCCTGTCTCTCCCTCGTTAGCGCGGTCTCCTCGCGGTCTCCGGGTTCATGATGAACTTCCTGACTTTGATTAAACTTTAACCTTCTTCAGACTCGCTCACCCGTGTGGGTTTTTTGAGCGTGTTTCAGATTTGTGAGTTTTCGCCGTGGCGTGAAATATGACCTATTAAATTTAGATTTGATTTGATTATCTGCAGCGACAGAAATAGACGGGTAGTAAGAGCGAGCAGAGGAGTGTTGATTAGAGCGGGCGGTATTATAAAGTCAGAAACAGTCAATTAGAGGAGACAGTGTCAGCCGCCGCCGCCGCCGCCGTCTTCCTCTTCTTCTTCTTCTTCTTCAGTGTCTTATTTACTCGCTTTATTACGCTAAGAAGCAGCCTGACCTTTAAGGTGATATGAGAGAATTACAGCCCAACATCACTCGCTGCTTATTAAAGCAACGCCTCATAACCCGCCGCTCCGTCTCGGCGCCACGCTCGGATAAAGTGAGGTTAAAACACCTGACTCCGCTACACACAGGTGACACTCTAATGAAACACTCTGAGCTGATGTCAGCAGATCCTGACCAATCACAGCCTCTCTGACCACCTGACCACCAGCCTCAATGGGCTCCTCTGTTTCTGACAATAATATTGATTATTGATCAGTCACACACCGTCACAAATGTCTTTGATTGACACGCAAACAGACCTTTATTTTGGCGGTTTTCCTCTTCTTCCTCTTCCTTTTCTCGGCTCCTGAAGGATTTGTCCTTTTTTACGACACTGTTACCTGCTCTTTAGACGCTCAGTGACCATTTCACAGGAGGAGGAACAGGACGGGGGCGGAGCTTAGTCAGAATCATCAGCCTATCAGCAGCAGCACTAACATGATTTTATTTTATTTTTACAATAATTTATATTTGATCAGACAGAAAGAATCGATCAAAATATCAAAATTATTTTAATTTATTGTTGTTATTTTGCTCTTGGGGGCCCCCTACTGGGCACAGGGCTAAGTGGGGGCCAGTAGGGGGCCCCTACTTAGCCGTACTTAAACCGACAGTACACACGACAAACTACACACATGAACACACTCAGGCGTTAGAAATACACAAACGTGTTTAACGGCGTTTGTTTCTCTGTTTCCTTCAGTGCTCAGCAGGACGCCACCTCTGGACCAATCACAGCGCCCGCTCAGGTCCGAGGATTTGACCGAGACAAGAACGTCTCGTTTTTACTGAAGGAGCTGGACGCTCTCCGAGACCTGAACAAGAAGGTGTGTGTGTCTGTGTGTGTGTGTGTGTGTGTCTGTGTGTGTGTGTGTCTGTGACTGTGTGTGTGTGTGTGTGTGTGTGTGTGTGTGTGTGTGTGTGTGTGTGTGTGTGTGTGTGTGTGTGAGTGTGAGTGTGAGTGTGTGTCTGTGTGTGTGTGAGTGTGTGTGGGAGTGTGTGTCTGTGTGTGTGTGTGTGTGTGTGTGTGTGTGTGTGTGTGTGTGTGTGTGTGTGTGTGTGTGTGTGTGTGTGTGTGTGTGTGTGTGTGTGTGTGTGTGTGTGTGTGTGTGTGTGTGTGTGTGTGTGTGTGTGTGTGTGTGTCTGTGTGTCTGTGTGTGTGTGTGTCTGTGTGTGTGTGTCTGTGTGTGTGTGTGTGTGTGTTTACTCATGAGGAGGTGGTCCTCACAGGTATACTAACACCTGTCTGTTTTTCAGCTTCAGGATCAGCTGGTCCAGAGGGAGAAGGAGCTGCAGAGGAGGGAGGTGGAGGAGGAGCTGCAGGAGGAGCAGAGGGAGGCCCAGAGCTGGGAGAGACCTACAGGTGAGGGGGAGGAAGGAGGAGGAGGAGAGGGAGGAAGGAGAGAGGAAGTGAGGAAGGAAGTAGAGGAAGTGAGGAAGGAAGGAGAGAGGGAGGAGGTGTGTTTCCAGTTTACTCTCCTCTTAATCAGATCTGATCCAACCACGACTTCTTAAATATTTGAATATTTTTCCTGCACACTGTTTAATACCAACACACACACACACACACACACACACACACACACACACAGTAATTAAAACAACAGCAGTGGTTCAGAGGAGGAGGAGGAGAAGGAGGAGGAGGAGGAGGAGGAGGTGACAGTTAACAAGCAGCTGTTAGTTTAACAGAAATGTGTGTTTAAGCAACGATCAGACGTGATATTGATTTAACTGATCTGTGAGTGTGTGTGTGAGTGTGTGTGTGTGTGTGTGAGTGTGTGTGTGTGTGTGTGTGTGTGTGTGTGTGTGTGTGTGTGTGTGAGTTTAATCCTGCAGGATTATCACAGACACACTCGGACTGATTCAGTTTCTTCATCTTTTCTAATATCAGCTGATCGATCACCTGTCAATCAAATCAGATCAATAACATTTATTTACCCCTGATCATAAAGACGACGTGTTCTCAACAAAACCACCTCTGACACATCTGAGGTCAACGTCCAAAAGGTTAGTCACATGACCAGGGCTGAGAAGGTCACCGGGTTCAGAGACAGACCTGAACGCCATCCTGTCCGGGTCTGTCTCTGATGGAGGGTGGGGTCAGAGGTCAGAGGTCAGGGGTCAGGTGGTCAGGTGTGTGAGGGTTCAGGTCGCTGTTTCAGGTGTGAAAAAAGAAACCGACTGTTCTGTGATGTTATTGATGATCCGTTTCCATGGTGACCGTTTCTACTTTTATTTCACTGAGTCTCACATGAGCGCTGGTCATTTCTCCGTTATTACACCTGGACCACTGGACACACTCACACACACACACACACACACAAACACGGACACACGGACACACACACGGACACACACACGGACACACACAGACACACAGACACACACACACACACACACACTCAGCTCTGATTGGACGATCAGTCTGAGGAGAAACTGGAACAAATCAAAGGTTTTATTGGACACGTTCTCAAACTGCCTCCTCTCCTTGTCACCTTGTCTCCTACTCCCTATGCCTCCTCATCCTTAAACTTTCACCTCCTCCTTATGTCCTTCTCCTCTCTTCCTAGTCTCCTAGCATCCTAATTCCTTCCTTGACTCCTCTGTCTTTGCTCCATAAACCCTGTCATCTCCTTGTCTCCTTGTCTCCTTATTGACTCTTCTCACCTTGTGTCCTTCCCTTTGTATTCTTCCTCTCCTTTTTTCACTTCCTCTTTCTGTTCTCTTATCTTGCATCCCCCTCTCCTCTCCTCATCCTTACCTTGCCTCATCTCCTCTCCTTGTCACCTTGTCTCCTACTACCTATGCCTCCTCATCCTTAATCTTTCACCTCCTCCCCCTGTCCTTCTCCTCTCTTTTTGTCTCCTTGTATCCTAATTCCTTCCTTGACTCCTCAGTCTTTGCTCCATAAACCATGTCATCTCCTTGTCTCCTTGTCTCCTTGTCTCCTCAGCGGTGTTGGAGGAGGTCTTGTCGGCCCAGAGGGACAGGGATCAGGCTCTGATGTCACGCCTCCTGCTGGCCAATGAGGAGAGAGACGAGGCTCTGCTGAGGGCGCGACAACTGCAGCAGGCGGCCGAGTACGACACACACACACACACACACACACACACACACACACACACACAGACACACACACACACACACACACTGTGCTGTTCTGCCCTGACAGATGCAGGTCACCTCCTCCTCCTCCTCCTCTGTTTCTCTCTCTGAAGATCAGAGGAGGTTCAGAGGAGGAGTGTTACCCTCTTTTATAGGAGGTGTGAAGATCCTCCTAACGCTCTAAAGTGACTCTTTTTTAGGAGTTACCTGGTTATGAGTGGCGCCCCCTGGTGGTTGTCTGGTTGTCCCTCTGATCTAACAGAGAGGAGGTCTGGAGGAGGAGAGGATCAGGCTGCTGTTTGTTTGTTTGTTTGTTTGTTTGTTTGTTTGTTTCAAACACTAACTTCTTATTTACATGTTTTCTGGTTTAATATGAGGCAGAAAAACGACGATCCTCCTCTCCTCCTCCTCCTCTTCCTCTTCCTCCTCCTTCTCTCTCTTCCTCCTCTCTCCTCTCTCCTCTTCCTCCTCTCTCCTCCTCCTCTCTTCTCCTCCTCTCTCCTCTTCCTCCTCCTCTCTCTCCTCCTCTCTCCTCTTCCTCCTCCTTCTCTCTCCTCTTCCTCCTCTCTTCCTCCTCCTCTCTCCTCTTCCTCCTCTCTCCTCCTCCTCTCTCCTCTTCCTCCTCCTCCTCTTCATTATTCTCCTCCTCGGTCTCGTTAAGAGCTGTGAAACGAGCTCTCGTCCTCCTTGAGGAGCCTCCAAATAGACCAGAAAATCTAATTACAGATAACCCCCCCCCCCCCTCCTCCTCTCCTCCTCCTCTCTCGCTCCTCCTCCCCCTCCTCCTCCCCCCCAGGATGAGAGGGTAATTGATATTGGAGGCCACAATCCTTTTTATGAGGGACAGAATATGGAGGAGCATGTTCCATCTGTCAGGACTGAGAGTGTGTGTGTGTGTGTGTGTGTGTGTGTGTGTGTGTGTGTGTGTGTGTGTGTGTGTGTGTGTGTGTGTGTGTGTGTGTGTTTTTCTAATGGGCAGAGGCGGCCTGTGTTACCTCTGTAATGTGTGTGTGAATAATGTGGAGCTGCTGTTTGTTTTTCTCTCTTTAAGCTCATTTTATTTATCCAACAGGAAACATCTGCATTTATCAAACAGAGCGCCGTCTACACAACACACACGACATACACCTGAAACACAACAAAAACCAGCAACGAGCGTTCAAAACACACACACAGAAAAACACACAAAAAACACAAAAATATAAAAAAAAACACAAACACAAAAAACCCTCAAAAATCATAAAATACATAAAAAAACACCAACAAGCTTTTAAAACAAAAAAACCTTCAAAAACACACAAAACAAAAACCACCGAGTTTTCAGAACTAAAAAAATAAAAACAAAAAAAAAAAAACACAAAAAAACAAACAAAAAAAAAGACCAACGAGCTTTCAAAACACAAAAACCCACAAAAAAACAAAACAAAAAACCCTACAAAAACCACCAACAAGCTTTCAGATCTGGAATAAACAAAAACCCTAAAAAAACTCAAGGAGCTTTCAGAACAACAACAAAAAAACAAAAACAATCATTAAAAAACACAAAAAATCAAAAACCACCAACAAGCTTTCAAAACATAAAAAAACACAAAAAACACAACAATCATAAAAATCTTAAAAAAACACAAAAAACACCAACAAACTTTCAAAACTAAAAAGTAAGTGTGATGAACCACAAAAAAACACAAATGAGCTTTCAGAATTAAAAAGAAAAAATAAACAAAAAAGACACAAAAAAAAACACAAAACCTTTGAGGAGCTTTAAAAAAAACAAAAAATCCTCCGATATTATCCGGACCCAGAGCTGCAGAAGGACTGCAGAAGGTTCTGGATCTGCTGGATCTGCTGCAGTTATCGTGAAAAAAAGACACTGATGGAGTTTTAATCATGAATATAAACAGTGAGTACTCTGAGTATTCTGTGAGTACTCTGAGTATTTGCAGTATAAATACATATAAACATGTTTGTCTGATAAAAACTTTCTGATGACTGTAGATGTTGTTCCTGAATTAACAGCTGCAGTTTGTTAGTGTGTGTGTGTGTGTGTGTGTGTGTGTGTGTGTGTGTGTGTGTGTTAATGACGGTGTTGGTGGTGGTGGTGCGGCGGCGGCGGCGAGCGGAGCGGAGCCGGGCTGAGCCGGCCTGGCTGGGCTGCAGTAAGCAGGGTGTTAGAGGAGCTTTATTGGAGGCGGCCGGTCTTTCATTACCTGCTGTTCCCTGCAGAGCGAGCCGCCTCGGCCACCTTATTACAGTTTATTACAGAAAAACAGCAGCAGCCGCTAAATGAAAAGAGCCTCCCAGGAGGAGGAGGAGGAGAGACGGAGCAGCAGCTAGTTACCAGCTCCTCGTCCAGCCCGGCTGAGAGGAGCGGGCCGGAGGAGCGGCTGAGGAGGCTGGAGGAGGAGGAGAGACAGGAAAGGAGAGTTGGAGCCGGACTTCAGGGACGGAGGACAAAATTACAGCTCAGCTGCTGCTGCTGCAGCTCAGGCCATCACCGCCACCGCCGCCATCGCCGCCATCGCCGCCCAGTTTAATATGGTCAGAGAGAGACTGGGGGGGCGGCGAGGGGGCGGCGAGGGGTCACCCCTGAACCCTGAATATAATCACATCATACATACAGAGTCCTATAAGCTCAGCTGTCAGCCTGAACCTCCGTGTTCATCAGGTGTGAAGAAGAACTCTGAATTACCACAATTTACACCGGAACCAGGAACCGATCAGGAACCGATCAGGAACCGCTCCGATCAGGAACGACTCCGATCAGGAACCGATCAGGAACCGATCAGGAACCGATCAGGAACCTTCGATCAGGAACGGTGTCGATTTTCTGGACTTCAGAGACCAGGCTCTTTTAAAAACCCAAATCCTCACAGGGACCAACACAGGTCCTCCCAGCCTGCAGGGGGCGCTCTCTCAGACAGGAGGGACGACGGACAGTCCTTCGTTAGATCAGATCATGTCCTCCATCTTTACAGACAAAGATTTTAAATGAACAAACTTCTGATTTTATTTAAGAATATTTCAAAATAAAAGATTTTTAATTTTTAAAGTTTCTGTTTTTATCGTCTTTATTCTCACAAACAGAAATATCGCTGGCGTCCGGCTGTAGAGCTGCGCTGTGATTGGCTGCTGTGACTAATGTTTCCCTCTCTGTCCGCAGGTTGGACGGTCTTCAGCTGGAGGACACGGACATGGTAAACTGACTCTGATCAGTCTGCAGGTTCTGATTATTGATTATTGAACACTCATCAGAGTGTCTGTCCTCCATCAGGACGTGGACCAGCTCCTTCAGAGCGTCTGTGACGCCGAGTCGGTCCAGGAGGTCCAGCAGTTCGGGGCGGTTCTGGTTCAGCGTCTGCAGATGGCGAGACAACGGAGACACGACATCACGGCGCAGGAGATGAAGGCGGTGATGGAGGAGAGAGACAGCTCCGTCGCCAAGGTCTGTCCTCTCACCTGTCTGTCCTCTCACCTGTCTGTCCTCTCACCTGTCTGTCCTCTTACCTGTCTGCCCTCTCACCTGTCTGTCCTCTCACCTGTCTGTCCTCTCACCTGTCTGTCCTCTTACCTGTCCTCTCACCTGTCTGTCCTCTCACCTGTCTGTCCTCTCACCTGTCTGTCCTCCCACCTGTCTGTCCTCTTACCTGTCTGTCCTCTCACCTGTCTGTCCTCTCACCTGTCTGTCCTCTCCTCTGTCTGTCCTCTCACCTGTCTGTCCTCTCACCTGTCTGTCCTCTTACCTGTCTGTCCTCTCACCTGTCTGTCCTCTTACCTGTCCTCTCACCTGTCTGTCCTCTCACCTGTCTGTCCTCTTACCTGTCTGTCCTCTTACCTGTCTGTCCTCTTACCTGTCCTCTCACCTGTCTGTCCTCTCACCTGTCTGTCCTCTCACCTGTCTGTCCTCTTACCTGTCTGTCCTCCCACCTGTCTGTCCTCTTACCTGTCTGTCCTCTCACCTGTCTGTCCTCTTACCTGTCTGTCCTCCCACCTGTCTGTCCTCTTACCTGTCTGTCCTCTCACCTGTCTGTCCTCTCACCTGTCTGTCCTCTCACCTGTCCTCTCACCTGTCTGTCCTCTCACCTGTCCTCTTACCTGTCCTCTCACCTGTCTGTCCTCTTACCTGTCTGTCCTCTCACCTGTCCTCTCACCTGTCTGTCCTCTCACCTGTCTGTCCTCTCACCTGTCCTCTCACCTGTCTGTCCTCTCACCTGTCTGTCCTCTCACCTCTCACCTGTCCTCTCACCTGTCTGTCCTCTCACCTGTCTGTCCTCTTACCTGTCCTCTCACCTGTCCTCTCACCTGTCTGTCCTCTCACCTGTCTGTCCTCTCACCTGTCCTCTCACCTGTCTGTCCTCTCACCTGTCTGTCCTCTCACCTGTCTGTCCTCTCACCTGTCCTCTCACCTGTCTGTCCTCTCACCTGTCTGTCCTCTCACCTGTCCTCTCACCTGTCTGTCCTCTCACCTGTCTGTCCTCTCACCTGTCCTCTCACCTGTCTGTCCTCTCACCTGTCTGTCCTCTCACCTGTCCTCTTACCTGTCTGTCCTCTCACCTGTCTGTTCTTAAAGGTACAGTACACCTGTAAACCCTGTGTCTCAGGTTTGTCGTTGGATCAGTGTGATCGGAGTTTGATTCATCATCCTGCAGCTGTCAGTCAGACACCTGACAGCGTCTCCTCTGTCATCTGTGCCGTCCTCTAAGCGCTCTGTTTAACCCCGCTGGTGCGGCGGCGTAGCGTGGGCCCGGGTACGGCGGCCCGGTCGGCCCAAACTTGCGATGTTTTCGTTTTGAATCTGAACGTGAAAAAAAAAAAACTGCAGAGACAAATATTGACAGGAGAGCGAGTCGACCCGACGAGCTGATGTTTGCTGAACGCTCGCTGTTTATACACCCGACACACACACACACACACACACACACTCCTCGCTCAGGTGTGTGTGTGTGTGTGTGTGTGTGTGTGTGTGTGTGTGTGTGTGTGTGTGTGTGTGACGACTTCAGCTCTCAGCGTTCCTGCAGGTGTGTCACAGGTAAGACTGCTGGTCAGACGTCAATCAATAATCAATAAGTGCGGTGATGTCAGAGATGATTAAAAAGTTGGTAGTTTGAAGAAGAATCTTCCTCCTCCTCCTCCTCCTCCTCCTCCTCCTCCTCCTCGGCGTCTCTCTCCTCTGGAGGCTGATTATTATCGAAGTTCAGCTCACAGAGTTTATTACCAAAACCTGCAGAGTCCTGGATTTATTACCCACAATTCCTCCTGATTCATATACCGCTCTCTGTGGGAGGATCAGGGGGAGGGGGGGGGAGTAAAAGGAGCAGAAATGAAAAAGATGAGAGGGCTGACTGATGGAGGGATGACAGAAAGAGAGAGAGAGGAGAGTGGGAGGGTGATTGAGGGGGGAGATGAGAGAGAGAGAGAGGGGGCGGAGCTCCCAGCAGGGCCGTGCTGCAGGTGGCGGCTCAGAAGCTCCGCCCCCCTCCCGATGTGTCTGATGGATCAGAAACTTTCATCTCTTCTCTCACTGTGACTCCTGTCGCCATGGTAACCGGGCTGGAAGCAGGACTGCTGCACTCAGAAAACCATGGCAACGGTTGTCAGGGAGCAGAGGAGGGAGAGGAGATCTCCGTCAGACACCACCGAACACCTCCTCCACTGTCAGGGGAGAAGAACTTTAGAAAAGAGGAGCAGAAGTTCTGGTTCTGGAGTCTGTGGGTCCTCCTGGTTCTGGTTCTGGTCTGAGTCTCGGTCAGGGTTCCTGTTTCAAACTCTCAGCTGTTGATTCAGACGATCATGAAGGTTTTTACTCCAACATCTTCACTCCTGTCTGCTCCTCCTGCTCCTCCTCCTGCTCCTCCTCCTCCTCCTCCTCGTTGATGAAGTATTTCAGGTAGATGATGTTTAGCTGTCGTCATGGAAACTCAGACAGGAAGCTGTTAGAAAACTATCTGACCTCTGACCTCTGAGAGGGTCAAGTTCAGGTGTCGACCTGCACAGGTAAACAGTCCTCCTCAGACCTCCTCAGACCCCCTCAGTCCTCCTCAGTCCTCCTCAGACCCCCTCAGTCCTCCTCAGTCCTCCTCAGACCTCCTCAGACCCCCTCAGACCCCCTCAGTCCCCCTCAGACCTCCTCAGACCCCCTCAGTCCTCCTCAGACCTCCTCAGTCCTCCTCAGTCCTCCTCAGTCCTCCTCAGTCCTCCTCAGACCCCCTCAGTCCTCCTCAGACCTCCTCAGACCCCCTCACCAGACCTTCAAACCCGCGTCACCACCTCTGTTCCTCCATCTTTACGTCCTTTGACCCCCACCCGCCGTCGCCGCTGTAACGGCGCCCGCCTCCATTAACCCCACAAAACTCACCGCCATATCCGCATCAACCATCCCACCGCCACTAACCCCCGCCAATATCGCCTCTCCGCCATCTTTTAACACCCCGCCCCTCTGCGTTAACACCACCCCTCCACGGTAACACCTTAATCCCGCCCTCGCTCTGCCGCCGCCGCGCGCTGAAATATGTTTCAAATGCCGCCATAATCCTCGGAGGAGAAGAAGAAGAGAGAGAGCACTCCACGCTGGAGGATTCCTCTCCTCCCCCCCGCCGCTCGCCGATCCCTCGCTCCCTCTCCTCATCTCTCAGGGATTATCTCCTCGCCGCAGCCGGGACTTCTGGGAAATATTAGAAAAGTGTGTGTGTGTGGGGGGGGCGGCGCTCTCAGCTGCCTCTGTATTGAGTTAATATCAGGTAATTAGAGGTTATTAGAGGTCGTTACAGCTCACCTGGACGCCGCTCACCTGGACGCCGCTCACCTGGACGGTTGTCGGTTTGATTCCCAGAGGCAGAGCCATCTTTAAAGGAACAGTACGCTGTTTTTATAAACAACACAAACAGCTGGAGGCGGAGCTTTAAACTCACCCTCAGTCAGAGAAGCTCTCTGATTGGTCAGCTTCATCGGAGATGGCGTCGTGTTAGCGGCGACCAATCAGAGCAGCTCAAAGTGACCCGTCATTTTCAACCATGACTGTTGATTCTCTTCAACCATCAGTTCATCAGTTCATCATCACTAGACGGACACACATCCATCCATATTTCATTCATCACTAAACCAATCGATCTATAATCGATCATCATTCATTCATCTGCCCATCATCTGTCCTTCCTTCTATCGATTCTGGATTAATTAAATTCATCCCTTCACTCATCATCCGTCCATCATGAGTCCATCTCTCCATCCATCACTTCATTCATCTTCATTCACCATTTCATCTTCTGTATTCTTTCCTTCCTTGTGTCCTTCCTCCCTTCATTGTGTCCTTCCTCCCTCCCTTTCCCCATTCACCCTTCCTCCCTTCTTTCCTTCCTTGTGTCCTTCCTCCCTTCCTTCCTTCCCTGTGTCCTTCCTTCCTTCCTCCCTTCATTGTGTCCTTCCTCCCTCCCTTTCCCCATTCTCCCTTCCTCCCTTCTTTCCTTCCTTGTGTCCTTCCTCCCTTCCTTCCTTCCCTGTGTCCTTCCTTCCTTCCTCCCTTCATTGTGTCCTTCCTCCCTCCCTTTCCCCATTCTCCCTTCCTCCCTTCTTTCCTTCCTTGTGTCCTTCCTCCCTTCCTTCCTTCCTTGTGTCCTTCCTCCCTTCCCTCCTTCCTTGTGTCCTTCCTCCATCTGTTAAGTTGACGTTGATCTAAAGATGATCATTAATTATTGATCACACAAAGGTTTACCTGAACAGGTGAGAGCTGATCTTATTGACCCTTTATTGATCATAACTGTAAACACATCATGGTCATGTGACTCTGATTTAATGACTCACAAACACAAACTCAAACAAACAAACAAACGTGTGAATCCTGATGAATCTGTTATTCTTATTCACACAATAGACCACGCCCCATTCTGCCATTCTGACCACTCCCCTTATGACCACTCCCCATTCTGACTCCGCCTCCTGGTTCATAAACAAACTGATAAATCGTGAAATCAGTCGCCTGTACCTGTAACACCTGCGGTGACATCACCACCTGTGTACGAGACTGATCACATGACCACATACGGCGTCTGATCACATGACCACATACGGCGTCTGAGCCGAGCTGTCAATCAAAACCAAAGAATGTTTTTCCATCTGTTAAAAGAGTTCAGAGAGAAATCTGCTCAAGTTTACACTGTCAACACACACACACACACACACACACACACACTGTCAACACACACACACTGAACACACACACACACTGAACACACACACACACACACACACACACACACACACACACACAGACTGTACAAACAGGAATCAGTCTTGTGTCCATCAACAGTCTGTCTGCATGAGGATATCCCTACATCCTCTAAACACACACACACACACACACTCTCACACACACACACACACACAGACAGACATACACACACTCTCTCACACACACACACTGACACACACTCTTGGTCCAGTGAAGCAGACTCCTCCAAATGGTAAAAAGAAACAGTGGTTGTTTGATTTAGTGCTGTTCTGTGATTGGTTGGGCAGTCTGAAGTGGGCGGAGTCACAGCTCTCTATGATGTCAGGTCTGTGTTGTGGATCCGGTCAGACTCTGAGTGTCCTGGTGGGTTTTTAGATGTTCTGAGCAGGTCTGAGTCGGTTTGGTTCGGTTTGACTTGAAGAAGGCGGTTTCTCAGCTGCTGATTGGTGCAGGAGCTCCAAGCTCCTCCCCCCTGTGCTCAGCTGGACTCTGTGTCTAAATAAAACCAGTACCTGAAGTCCATTACCTGCTCAGATCCAGACCCCTGTGAGATCCCCTCTGTTCAAAGGTCCCAGTATGACCAGTTTACACCGTCCCACGTCTTCTGATTGGACACCAGGCCCATCAATCTGATCAGAAAGGGGCGGAACCAGGCACACGACCTGGTTTGTGTCTCTGCAGTGTAAATGTCTGGAACAGGATCTGATCCAGGAGAGAGAGCGGAGGGCGAGCCAGGTACACACACACACACACACACACACTCTGCATACTAAGTGCTGCTCTCTGTGTTGAATGGTGATGATGGGATGTCTGCTTTGTTGTCATGACAACCTGTCAGGGGGACACTGCAGCTTGTTTGCCAACAACTTGTTATTCAAACAGGGTGTGTGTGTGTGTGTGTTTGTGTTCGTGTGTGTGTGTGTGTGTGTGTCTGTCTACCTCTATAAGGACCTTGTTCTGTTGTAAATCAGGCGTTTTCAAGACTCCAAATAAACATGAAACAGTTCAAAGGTGCAGTTCGCAGAGTTCAGTGTCTCTAAAATAATAATAATAATAATATTAATAATAATAATAATGATAATAATAATAATAATAATAATAATAATAATAATAATAATAATAATGATGATAATAATAATAATAATAATAATAATAATAATAATAATGATGATGATGATGATGATGATGATGATGATGATAATAATAATAATAATAATATTCACGGTTCCTAAATGAAAATAAAACTCTTTAGAGAAGAAGAGTCGGGGGGGTTGTCGTGTTCGTGTTCATGGACAGTTTTGGTATGTGATATAATAATGTCCTCAAAGGCCACCGTCACCTCTGGAGTTCAGGTTGAAACTATAATGTTTGAGGAGGTCTGATGTCGGTCACATGACCTGAAACACTCTCATCACCTCCTGGTCGTCCAGCGTTAGTGTGACTGAACTGAGCTCGTCATGAGAACACATGGAGACTCTGAGGGTCACATGACTGTAGAATGTAAACATGCACACAGGTCCAGACACTGCTACCATCTCAGAACCCTGAACAGAACAGCAGAACCACCTGATCCGACTGACAGGAACTAGGATTCAGACTCAGGGGGGCGGGGTCTGTGATGATCCGGACCAGAACAGGACGGAGTCACAAACTGACGTCAGGATGTCGTTTCAAACTTAGTGATGGAAGATCAGTTCTTCTGACTGAATCTTTAGAATCATTAAAAGGATTCGTTTAAAAGATTCGTTCACTGAATCAGTCAGTTCTTCTGAGACCCGTCCTGTCGCTGCAGAACACCAGTGAGTGACACAGCGGCGAGTTTGTTCATTAGCCCCTCCCCTGCTGCTGAAGTCACAGCGTCGTTCTCTGGGTGACTCGTGTCGTTCATTCGCCAAGTCCTGAAGGAAGAATCACTCCCCTGCCCTGAAAAACTCACCTCTCCGTGTGTCGCCGTCTGTCGGCGGGAACAACACAGCAGCGAGCAGCACGCCACTAAACGAGCGCGAGTGTATTTGTGTATTAATGTAAAGGCGCTGTAATGACCTGTTTTATCAACCAACCGCTGCTCAGCAGGAAGTGAACGACGCTACACCCCTCCCTCCTCCGCCTCACAGTCTGACTGATTCATGTCGTTCATTCGCTCTGAGTGAATCACGAGACTCCGCCCACCCACTCGCTGGCCGGCTGTGTGTCATTCGCCAAAGAGTCAAAGGCGACAGTTCCACTCCCGACCGCCACGCCGAGCTGAGCTCAGCTGACCTGAGTAGTGAACGGATCAGGTCTGAGAGTGACTCGGTTCAGGTGGTTGACTCGGCGGTTCTCTCCTTCCTGTTTCGTCTCACAGATCGTGTTTCTCTTCTTTCTTCTTCTCTAGAATCTCCATCTGTAATCGAGTCCCTCTCTGCCGGCGGGTTTGTGTCCCCGGTCTCAGTAGATCCAGTCAAATCTTCAGTGGAGTCTGTCGTCTGTCCCCCCCCCTCGCCGCCGCCGCTCGCTCTGCCTCCACATTTATTAAATTTTGTTATTAATGTAGCACTCGCTCTTTTTTCCGCTCTGAATCTGTTAATTAGGCCTGAGGGCTCCCGAGGATTAGAGCCCAGAGAGCTTTTTAATTTCCAACAGAAACACCGACAGCTGCCCGCAGATCCACCAGCAGACTGTCAGAGAGACCGCCGCCACGGGGGGCGGGTTCAGCCCCAGACCGGGACCAGGGACCGGGACCAGGGACCGGGACCAGGGACCGGGAGCTCCAGAACAGTCCAAGACATTAAACAAGGAACTTTAAACCAGGACCAGAGACCTAATCTAAGATACCAGGTCCTGGCTGACCCAGCAGGTCTGAAGGTCTCATAGAGTCTGACGATTCGGACCGTGTTTCTGAGCCCCGTCCTGGTCTCTGGTCCCCTCTGAATCAGGACTACAGAGACCCAGATAGACTCTTTAAAAGAAACTACAATGTTGACAAGGAACCAAAGTTTAAAACCGGACTAAAACAGATCCACGTGGACCAGAAACTGAGACCACCACAGGGTTAAAGTGTATTTACTGTGAAACAGAGACCCTCAAAGACTCCGTTTACAATAACAGTGAACCTGAGACGCTCTGAGACCCTCAGTTTACAGTGAACCTGAGACCCTCTGAGACCCTCTGAGACCCTCTTAGACCCTCTGAGACCCTCAGTTTACAGTGAACCTGAGACCCTCAAAGACTCAGTTTACAGTGAAGCTGAGACCCTCTTAGACCCTCAGTTTACAGTGAAGCTGAGACCCCCTGAGACCCTCTGAGACCCTCTGAGACCCCCAGTTTACAGTGAAGCTGAGACCCTCTGTGTGAGGATTGTGTTCCTGTTTTTGTTGATAAGTTCATTCTGATCAGTCTGTACTCGGACAGACTGAATAAACGATCACAGAGCTCATCAAACACTCAGACTTCAGTCAGCTGATGGGGGGGGGGCAGATTTTGGGGCTAATTTGAAGTGGACTGACCTTTGAACTCCTCCTGGTAAAGGTCAGAGGAGGTCTCTTTCATTTACTCCTTTTCTGCTCTCACCTCCTCATCCTGAACCCCCCCCCCCCCCCATGCTAATTAAAGCTTCGTCTCCTCCCCCTCCTCACCCGCTCTTCCTCACCTCTTTATCCTGGAGGACCTAGGTCAGGTTGGTTTTATTACCTCCTCCTCCCCCCCTCATTGGTTGACCTTAACTCCTCATGTTAAAGGTCGGCTGGCGTCGGCGCCGCGGCGTGCTCATCATCTCATTTGGAAATTATTCTGATTAATAAGTCGGCGGTTCGTTTGAAGCGTCTCCTCCGGCCCGGCTGGAGAAGTCACATATTGACTCTCCGGGTTTGGTTTCTCTTTTGAAGTCTCTTTTTCAACCCGCAGACCTTCAGGGCTTTAATTAGCATGAGGAGGAGGAGGAGGAGGAGGAGGAGAGGAGGAGGAGGAGAGGGAGGTCAGGATCAGGTCTGTCTGTCAGGAGTCCACCTCCACACTTTTTGACCGCAGATAGAGTCACAGAGTCCTGGAACTGTCGGCCTGGAGGTCCAGGGGAGGAGGTGAGGAGAACGGGAGGAGGAGGTGAGGAGACTAGAGGAGGAGACTAAGGGAGGCAGGTTAAAGGTCAGGCTTTGACTCTAACTTTGTTCTCCTGAGTTAAAGAGTAAGGAGCACAAAGAACTTTAGAGGATCAATGAAAACTGATCAATAATGTTTGTCTTATTGATCGACCTTAGTACTATTATTAGAAATCAATTTTAGGTCTTTTGGTCACATGACAGTGAAGCTATTGAAGGAAAACAGCCTTTTCTGAGAACATCAACAGGTAATTTATTGACGGTCCCTTATTCAACACCGACGTTGACAGTGAGGGTGTCGAGTAGATTTAACCGCGCTGCTGTTGTTATTCCCGGTTATGGAGAGTGAGTAAAAAAGTAAAAAGAAAAAGTAAAAAATTAAAAAATAAATAATTGAATAAATAAAATAAAATAATTAAATTAAAATTTAAATATAAAAAATAAATAATTAAATTAAATAATGAATAAATTAATAAAATAAATAAATAAATAAAATTAATAAATTAATAAAATAAATAAATAAATAAAATTAATAAATTAATAAAATAAATAAATAAATAAAATTAATAAATTAATAAAATAAATAAATAAATAAAATAATTTTGTGCTGAAATGTCCCTTTAAACTGAACAGCAGGTTTAAACCGGTTCACAGACTCTGACACTCCTTCAAACTTCATTAAGACTAATTTAACCCTTTACTGCCCCCCCATCTCTGTTTTTACCCAGAATGCACCTGTAGCTGGAGTCTGTAAATAGAGGCTGATATAAATTAATCTCTCATTATGAAGAGTGTTGACACTCGTGTTCCTTAATGAGCTCGTTAGTTCATTAATCCTTTATTTAAACAGACTGACTCCTCAGATCAACTTCCTGCTCCCTCTCTGCACACGTGCAGAAACACACATGTGACTGAGGATCAGGTTATCAATGCAGAGGATTGATTATGGACTCAATGATTGACAGGCCTGGTAGCCAATAATAGAAGACGATCTGACTGAGACCCTTCATCATCATCATCATCATCATCATCATCATCATCATTATCACACAGAGCTCGATTCGTCATGTCTGCTTTGCATTTAAAAGAGTTACAATGTTTGTTTCAACCAATCAGGAGGAGCTTCTGCGACTTCAGCGAGAAAAAGGCGGAGCTTTGGAAGGAAGGCAGCAGTTGGAGGCGGAGCTACAGGAGCTGAGAGCCAATCAAAGGTCTGTTTTTAAGAAGCAGTAAAACTGTTTTTTTTTAAATGTTAACCTGAGAGGTTACCATGGCAACGCTGTGGTGATGAAGGAGGAGTTACAAAGCTCCTCCTCTCCTCCTCCTCCTTCTCCTGTCTCCTCCTCTCCCTGTTCTCCTCTCTCCCATTCTCTCCTCTCCTCTCTCCTCCTCTCCTCTCTCCTCCTCCTCCTCCTTTCTCCTCCTCTCCCTCCTCTCTCCTCCTCTCCTCCTGCAGTATTTTGGACCTTCTTTGAGGAGGTGTAGTTCTTGTTCAGGTGAGGAGGAGGAGGAGTTTCAGAGGGAGGACCAGGTGTGGAGGTCTGGACCCTCGGGGTGTTCTTCAGGATCTCTTCAGGTCCAGGTCTTTGTCCTGCTCAGTTCTCTGGTCTGTTTGAGGTTCTGGTGGTTCTGGTGGTTCTGGTGGTTGTGGTGGTTGTGGTGGTTCTGTGGATCAGAGCTCGGTGTCGCTCCGTCAGGTGACGGCGTCGCTCTGAGTCTCAGCTGATGTTCGTGGATCAGCGATAAACTCGGAAACGTTCCTGATGTTCGTGGATCTGGATCAAACCGGGTCTCCTTGGTGGTTTTTGATTTATCTCCATGAAAACAGACGCTGAGGGTCCTGCTGAGGAGCTGTGAGCCTCCATACATCATCAGGATGAAGCTGAGCTCCTGCAGAGACTCAGAGGAGGAGGAGGAGGAGGAGGAGGAGGAGGAGGAGGTGTCGGAAATCTTCAGCTGCTGATTTTAGTTTCAGAAATTCACTTTTTTTTAACGTCTGCATGAAAAACTCTGAGGAGGAGGAGGAGGAGGAGGAGGAGGAGATCTTCATCATTCAGGGTCAGGTCTGATCTGGACCAACACAGGATGGGGGTCTGGTTCAGTCTGACCTCCTCCACCTCCTCTAAAGAAAGGAGGTCTCCTGAGACTCCTCCTGGTCTTCAGTTTCTGAGTCAGGTTCATGATGATGAAGATGATGATGAAGATGATGATGAAGATGATGAGTCACTGATTCTCCTTCCTCTCCTCCTCCTCTTCTCTCCTCCTCTCCTTCTCTCTCCTCCTCTCCTCCTCCTCTCCTCTCCTCCTCTCCTACTCTCCTCCTCTCCTCTCCTCTTCCTCTCCTCCTCCTCTCCTCCTCTCTTCTCCTCCTCTCCTCCTCTCCTCCTCTCCTTCTCCCCTCTCCTCTCCTCCTCTCCTCCTCTCCTCTCCTCCTCTCCTACTCTCCTCCTCTCCTCTCCTCTTCCTCTCCTCCTCCTCTCCTCCTCCTCTCCTCCTCTCCTTCTCTCCTCCTCTCCTCTCCTCCTCTTCTCCTCTCCTCTCCTTCCCTCTCCTCCTCCTCTCCTCTCCTCCTCTCCTCTCCTCTCCTCTCCTCCTCCTCTCCTCCTCTCCTTCTCTCCTCCTCTCCTCCTCTTCTCCTCTCCTCTCCTTCCCTCTCCTCCTTCTCTCCTCTCCTCCTCTCCTCCTCCTCTCCTCCTCCTCTCCTCCTCTCCTTCTCCTCCTCTCCTCTCCTCTCCTCCTCTCCTTCTCTCCTCTCCTCTCCTCCTCTCCTCTCCTCTCCTCTCCTCCTCTCCTCTCCCTCTCCTCCTCTCCTCCTCTCCTCTCCTCTCCTCTCCTTCTCTCCTCTCCTCCTCCTCTCCTCCTCCTCTCCTCTCCTCCTCTCCGCTCCTTCCCTCTCCTTCTCTCCTCTCCTTCTCTCCTCTCCTCTCCTCCTCTCCCCTCCTCCTCTCCTCCTCCTCTCCTCCCTCCTCCTCTCCTCCTCTTCTCCTCTCCTCTCCTCCTCTCCTCCTCCTCTCCTACTCTCCTCTCCTCTCCTCTCCTCCTCCCCTCCTCCTCCTCTCCTCTCCTCCTCTCCTCTCCTCCTCTCCTCTCCTCCTCCTCCTCTCCTCCTCTCCTCTCCTCCTCTCCTCTCCTCCTCTCCTCTCCTCTCCTCCTCCTCTCTCCTCTCCTCTCCTCTCTCCTCTCCTTCTCTCCTCCTCTCCTTCCCTCTCCTCTCCTTCTCTCCTCTCCTCTCCTCCTCCTCTCCTCTCCTCTCCTCCTCTCCTCCCTCAGCTCTCAGGACCTCCTCTCTCCTCCCCCCTCCTTTCCCACGGACGCCGCCGTCTCTCCAGCGGATCACGAGGCCCCGCCCCTTCTGGTTCAGGTGCAGCAGTTGTCCAGGGAGAAGCAGAGCGTGGAGGCGGAGCTACATCGCTGTCAGGAGGCGGAGCGAGAGGCCAGTGAGAGAGTCCGCAGGTCAGAGTCCAGCTGAGGAAGGTCACATGACTCTCTGACAGTTTGAAGGTTGTTTGTTTTTAGGCTCCGCCCCCCTCACAGGTGTGTGTTACCGGGCGTTCACAGGAGTTTTCCTCCGGTGTGTGTTCACGCTCACGCTCACTAACACACCTGAACCTCCTCGTTAAGGCGGCGCCGCAGGCCGAGCTCGCCGCTCGCTCGCCGCTCGCTCGCCGCTCGCTCGCCGCTCGCTCCCGTCTTCAGAAACATGTTTCAGTTCGGAGCGGCGCTCCTCAGACGCTCGGCGATGTGTTCAAAGACCGGTTAAGCGTGTGGGACTAAAGAGATTTGGCCTGATGATTCATATTCAGCGGACATCGGAGCGAGCGTCTCCGGCGGCGGCGGCGGCGAGCCGATCAGGAAGAATTAATCCTTCAGATTTCTCCCGGTACAGGCTGACGGTCGGCGGCTGAATAACGTGACTTCTTCTTCTTCTGCTGCTCCTCGTCTCATCAGCCTGAAGATGAAGGGATGAGATTCATGATGAAAACAGCTTAAGTCGTCCGTCTGCGTCCCGCTCCGTCCTCCTGGGCTCAAACCCGCGGCTTTCCGCTCTAATTTGGCTGCCAGCGGGGGGGCGGCCGGCTCTGAAGGGCCTCCCAAGTTTGAGAATCGTGGAGGAAGGAATATTTGCTCTCAGGAGGGAGGAGGAGGGGAGGAGGAGGAGGAGGAGGAGGAGGGAGAGATCGAAAATCTGCTGCTTATTAGAGACGGAAGTTTAATTTGGTTTGAAGAGAGAGAGAGAGAGAGAGAGAGAGGGCGAGCGAGCTTCAGTCTGTGTTAGAAAGTCACTCAGGGTCGTCTCTCTCTCTCTCTCTCTCTCTCCTCCTCCTCCTCCTCCTCCTCCTCCTCCTCCTCCTCGTTTCTCAGAGTTCGACATCCTCAAACTTTCATCCACATTAAAGGGACATTTCACTCTTTTTAAAGGGTGATTGGACGGACATTAGCGCCGCCCCTTTATGGAGAACCTTCACCAAGCTAGGCTACAGTCTGAGCGTACGATCTACCGCTGTCGACAACTTCGTGACTTTGTCGCCATTTTATTTTTACTAAAATATTTCTTGAACTTTTACAAGTAAAAAAAAACATCAAAAACACGAAGAAAAACTCAGAGTTATGGAGACAAATATCAGTAACAACAGAAGTTTAATAAAACAGATAAAAAGGACACGAGACAGAAATAAATAAATAAACATAAACTCAACATGTTAGTGTCAGCGCCCCGACGTCCAAGACTGTCCAGCAGGGGTCTCCAGATCTCCTCAGATCCTCCTGTTTCCCTCTGATGGTTGATGTTTGTCTCTAACGTTCATGGAGGGGACCTCCTTGTTCTTCAGGATGAGGCGGTTCTCCTCCTGCTCTGACTTCACGATAAAATCTTTGTCGCTTTATTCAGCGAGTTTTCAGACCCTCTAGCGACTTTCAGTGGCGTCATCGGAGACTCCGACGTTTACGTATCACTCGGTCCCCGAGCGCCGCAGCTGCAGTCAGAGGAGACGAGTTCGCTCTGACTGAACCCTGAACCCTGACTCCTTCACGTTTCAACAACGACGGCGTCCGTGATGTGACCCTCATGAACGCCTGTTTGTGTTGAACAACGGTGACGTTTGTCTCATATTGATGACGTAAAGATCGGATAAACTCGACCTGAGCGTCACACTGCAGTCACATCAGATATCTGATTTATATCCACATACAGAAGAGGGTCGGATCAGAACCAATCAGAACTGACCTGTTCACAACCCATCAGTGTTTGTGTTCATGAAGTCTCTCTCTCCCTCTCTCTCTCTCTCTCTCTCTCTCCCTCTCTCTCTGTCTCCCTCTCTCCAGGTTGGAGCGTCTGGTCGAGGTTTTGAGGAAGAAGGTCGGGACGGGGAGTCTGCGAGCCGTCATCTGATCCGAGGAGTTGATTCAGAACCGACACAAGTCTGATCTTCTCTTCCCACAGCTCTCTCTCTCTCTCTCTCTCTCCCTCTCTCTCTCTCTCTCTCTCTCTCTCTCTCTCTCATATTTCCGTTTTAACTGTTTCAGATAAAGTTTTTCTTTTGTTTGTTCTTGTTCTGTTCGACTCGGACGTCATGGTTTCAGTTTTTCTCTCTTTCGGTCCTAAAATGAAATTAAACGTCTGAAAGTTTAAAACTGTTGAAATAAATAAAGAAAAAAAAAAGATTTTCTGACTTTTTCTCCTGCTGCAGTTTTTTCAGGTTGATTTTCTAATAATTTAAACGAACTGAACGAGCTGAAGGAGAATTTCATTATGATTAACGACCGCAGGATAGAAATACACAAACCTCAACCAAAACGCCACTCTATAGAGAGACCTCAGGCCAGTCCATTAGGGACTACAGCGGGGTGTCGCAGCTCAAGGAAGAACATTTATGATCATTTCTTTATCATTTCCTTGAAGTAATAATCATCATATTAATCATTTTACAGACGCGGTAGTTCTTCTGTCTTAGCGTCTCGGTCTGATTGTATTTCCATGAAGAAATGATCATAAATGTTCTTCCTTGAGCTGCGGCACCCCGCTGTAGTCTGTAATGGACTGGCCTGAGGTCTCACTACAAACAAGCGTCTGCTGGAAGAGAGTAGGTGAGTTGTGTTTAGTCTCTTTGCTAAAGAAATGAGTCAAAGTTAAAAAGATGTTTGGTGTCTAGTACTATGTCTGTGACCCTATATGTACTAACCTCAGTAGAACATGGTGTAGTTCCGTTCAGTAACAGAACCTCATTGGAAAATTAGCTGATTTAACTTTACTGTGCTCTTGTTCAAATATATTAACTCGACAGCACATAAATCCATACCTGTTAACAAAATCATGATTTTATTGATAATTCGGCTCAATAAAAACACCTTTACCTTTTCATTTTACTACAGTAGTTTATTGGCCCAGCTTATAGACTACAGAGGTGGAGAAACGCCCCCGCTTAAGTTTGTTTTCTTAGAACAACTCTGAATATAGAACTATGTCTGTGACCCTATATGTCCTGTTGATGAAGTTAGGTGCTGTTCTGAGCATTATTTGTGGCTATAGAGTGGCGTTTTGGTTTAGGGCGTGGCTCTCTGTATTACTATCCTGCGGTCGTTACTAAAGTTGGTATAACTAGAGAAGGAAGCGGTCGGCAACATTCATCTCTGGAGGGGGGGTCTAACTCGGTGTTACGGTGGGTTTGACCCTAAATTAATTTTACGCCTATCCCTTTAAGACGCCCCCTCCCATAAAGCCCACTTTCTTCTGATTGTTCCGGAACACTACTCAAGAGAACACGTTGTCATCACAACATGACATCATAAAGGGAGGCAGAATTCCGCAACTTTGTGACATCATCAAGTGTCCAGAGTTAGACAAGAAGAGAGTAGAAGCTGATTTTTGGAGCTCTGGAATCTGATCAACTTTGTTTTTTGTTTTGTTTTTTTATGATTAGCTAAAAATCCAAAAAGGGTTAAATCCACCGCTCTTTAGCGTGATCCCCGCCCATAAAGGTCACAGCCCAGCCCCCATCCAAGAAAGTCGGAGGAGGTGCTGTTCTGAGCATTATTTGTGGCTATAGAGTGGCGTTTTGGTTGGGGGCGTGGCTCTCTGTATTACTATCCTGCGGTCGTTACTAAAGTTGGTATAACTAGAGAAGCAAGCGGTCGACAACATTCATCTGTGGAGGGGGGGTCTAACTCGGTGTTACGGTGGGTTTGACCCTAAATTCACCACCAGCACGTGTCTGTAACTGCGTCTCTCTCTCTTCTGTTGGTTTTCTCTTCGTCTCTTAAACTGAAACTTTCCTCGGTTTAATTTCTGACGATCTCTCCCTCTGACCTTTTTCTCCAAAACCTTCAAATGAAATTTTCTGGTTCTTTCCGAACTTTCCGGACCGGGTCGCTCAGACTGATGAACTCTGGTCCAGTTTCCTCAGAGGTCCACCTTTCCTTCCTGGTCTGGTGCGGTTGGCTGGTTTGTGGTCTTGCTGATGTGGTCGGTTGTTTCGTTGTTGGTGGACTGTTCAGGTTTGAGGTTTAATAGAGGGACAAGCTAATAAGAATATCTGAAAGCTCCGCCCACATGATTTTAAGCCCCGCCCTCAAAGGAAACACTGAGTTTTTGTGGTCGACTGTGTTCAACAAGGAACAATACGGAGTCAATATTTAAGGAGGTGAAATCTGAATCAGTCTGACGGATAGAAACCAGAAGGGGTCATCAAGACGGGCGGCGGCGGCGGCAGCGGTGGCGAGCTGAAGAGCTGCTCTTCAGGAAATGTGCCGCCGACCGTCCGAGTGTTTGACTGAACAAACTGCTGAAGCTGCTGTTTTCAGAAGAAAGAGTCCCTTTATATTCACACACACACACACACACACACACACACACACACACACACACACACACACACACACACACTCAAACACAAACTCTGCTCTGCATACTAACACTGTCCAAACACTGGGAGGAGCGAACTGATTGGTCGACCTCTGCTGCAGTCCTCACCCGCACACACACACTCACACACTCACACACACTCACACTCACACACACACACATACACACACACACACACACTCACACACACACACACTCACACACACACTCTGATGTTTGTCCGGCTTTAAGAAAATAAACTCGACAGTTTCAGTTTTTTTCAGACGTTTTTATTTAAACTGATAAAAATCAGAGAAATTCTAAAACAGACCGACTCTGAATTTTCCGCTTTAAACCTCCATAAACTTGATTTTCTGTGAACTGTTCAGAGGAAAACTGTCCTCTCTGAGATTATAACGCTCTGTATTTACTGACTGAATATTAAATGAGATAAAGAAATATAAACAAAAATGTTGTAAATGACAGAAAAACCCTCGTTCAGTTTTAATTTGACAAAAACCCTGAAGGCCTTAAAAACAAACCGGAGGGAGCAACGAGACGATCGCTCTCACGATAAATCACAAACTTTTTTACTGAAAAAATTTATCATCAACTCTTATTTAGTGTTTTTTTTAACAAAGAAGGAAAGTTTTAATTTAAGAGACGAGGAGGTTCAGTCTGAAGAAAACCTGAAACTTTTACAACATCTGATCAAAACAGCAAACAAATATGTTTGTGAAATTAGACGTTTTATTCATGGAAATTAAACTTTATTTTATTTACTTTGTTTTTACTTTGTTTTATTACATTATCAACAGAGCAAACACAACAGCAATTAAGAAATAATAATATTAAAATACAGTAAAAAAAAACAGTCAACAACAGCAAACAGCACCGTAAATAACAGAGTAAGATACACAGTCAAAAACTGTAAACATAACAGTAAATAACACAGTGACTAACAGTTAATAACAGTTAATAACACAGTAAATAACAGTTAATAACACAGTAAATAACACAGTAAATAACAGTTAATAACAGTCACTAAAGCAAATGAAAACTGTCCGGACCGTCTCGCTCAGCTCAGAGTTAAATCTGTTTGAAATATTGAGTTTAAACTTTTACAAAAGTGTTTCTGATAAAAGTCTAATTTCAGATAAAAATTAAGAAAACTTCAAACTGAAATTAACAATAAATAACTAACTTCAGTTTTTATTATCCGTCTGATTTAAACCTCAAAACTCTGGAAAACAGATTTTATTACAGGAAATAATTGAGTTTTTTTTTATGTCACAGATTCAGAAAATATCCAACAAATCCGGGTCAGGAGTTTCTGAAGACTGTGTGAACACGGAAACAGATTTACTCTGATTTTCAAAAGTTAATTTTATCAACTTTCACAGTTTCAAACCTCAGAGTTTCTGTTTTTAGAACATTTTTTAAGACAACATTTCTGTGTGTGTGTGTGTGTGTGTGTGTGTGTGTGTGTGTGTGTGTGCGCCCCTGCCCCGCTGATGTGTTGCCATGGTTACGGCAGACCACTCGTGGTCGACTTGGGTGTCCTGGTTTTAATCCTGCGGCCGTTAATCTGCTTGTTCTGAAGAAAGACTCAGTTTGTTGGAGCTCCAACTTCTGACGCCACCTGGGAGTGTGTGTGTGTGTGTGTGTGTGTGTGTGTGTGTATGTTAATGTGAGCCCATCCTGCTCTGTGATTGGCTGTGAACTCTGATATTTTGGATAGTTATTTCCGTCTTTAATTTGAGCTTTAAAGTTTTTCAGTTCATTGTTTTTATTTTGGTCTGGGTGGAGGTCTGATGACTCGATGACTCGTGGCTGACATGTTGACGACTTGTTGTTAATAAAGATCATTAATTATCTTCACATTTGATGACTTGTGTATGACTTGTTGACATGTTGATGATTTGTAATTGAATCATTGGTGACTGACTCGTTGATGAATCATTGACTCGTTAATGACTTGTGATTGACTCTATGACTCGTTGATGACACGCTGACCTGTTGATGACCCATTGATGACCCGTCGATGACTCGTTGATGACTCGTTGTTGACTTCGTTGATGACACGCTGACCTGTTGATGACCCGTTGATGACCCGTTGATGACTCATTGATGACCCGTTGATGACCCGTTGATGACTCGTCAGTTCTGGTCCCCTCTGTGGTTCCGGTTTCAGCTTCAGTCTCTCCGTCTGTTTAAACTTCTCCATTAACTGAGCTGAACCGTAACAACCATAACGACCGTGACATCACTGCCAATTACCCAGCATCCTCCTCAATGCCCCCCCCCCATGATCTGCTATGAATGACCCCCCCCTCCCCCCCCCAGCCATATTAGAAGCTCACAAAGCTCTAATAAACTTCCTCCCTATCATTTAAGGAGAGGCAGCTGCTCTCTCTCTCTCTCTCTCTCTCTCTCTCTCTCTCTCCCTCTCTCTCTCTCTCTCTCCCCCTCTCTCTCTCCTTTGATCGTCCTCTTTTCTTCTCCTCTCTCTCTGATTCTGGAGGGGATTTCTTTGCTCTTTTCGTGGCTCGAGCACAATTGTGTTATTGGAGATAATTAATTCCAATCCCCATCAAAAGGCCTGAGTGGCCCCGGGGCCCCCGCTCCCGTCTTTCTAGTGGGGGGAATGAAAGGCTTGGGGAAGAAAGGGGCCGAGGGCCGTCGCATTGTGGACGACATTTTCCTCCATAAGGCGTGAGCGGGGAGAAAAGGCGGCCAGGGGCTTTACTCAAATGATGCCGGAGGCCCCGGGGCCGCCACCGCTGCCGGAGGGCCCCGCACGGCCCCGCCGGGAACATATGGCCTGTATTACAGCAGACTGGGTGGCACTGGGACCAGTTAGAGTTTCGGGTCTGCAGACTGGTTCCTGTGTTTTACCTCTTTATTTTTATGAAGTCTGTTTGTGTTACAGGGAGATAAAAGAAAGAAAAGAGTTTATTTAATAAAGAAATAAAAAATAAAACAGTTTAAAAAATAAATTAAAATAAAGAAAATGTTTCTCTGCAGCAAAGATAAAAACAGTAAAGTAGCGTCATAATGAAAAGTTCTGTTTCAGGTTCAGTTCCTGGTTTTTGGAGGATGTTGTTCTGTGTTTTTTTTTCTTTTTATTGGACCAATTAAAACAGATTTTAAAATGAGAAACATTTATTTTTAATTCACATGTTTGACCAACAAACTGAGTTTTCCTCATGGTCTCTGAATGTCCAACAATATTCAGAAAAATCTCCTAAAAAAACCGACAGAGGAACAAAATCAGGACGAGGTTTTTATCAGATTATGATCAGGAAGTTCAGAATGAAAATCAGATTATTCTGTCGTAGATTTACGATCTTTTCAATAATGAGGTTAATAATGAGCCGAGGTTATTCAGTGAAGACCGCCGAACAAATGAATGATCAGTTCAATCAAACAAACAGACAGTCTGACTCATCGAGCACAGAGAGTGATCAGATTTAATGATCGAGTGAGTCTCAATTATTGGATCTGAAACGATTGATTCTTAAATTTAAACCTTTGGATAAAAAAATGAGGCTAAAAAAAAAACCAAAAACACTTTTTCTTCTTCTGCAGTAAAAAATAAAAATCCCTGAATAAATGATTTCAGAGGCTGTTTTTTTATCATGACGGTCTAATCTTGTGAACAGGCCTCAGTGTGACGATCGGTTTCCAGTATTTTTATTGATTTATTGATTTAGTGATGCGTTCACTGCCTCTTCTGCAGTTATTATAACCGTCATGATAACATCCTGAATCCTGCTGAATATCAAAGGACTTGCTCACGCAGTCTCTACATTTTCTTTGTATGTTCTGATCTTCTTCGCACAAGATCCTGATTCTGTTCGCACACTTCTTACCTGCGTGTTTAGATCTTGTCTGTGGTGGAGTAAGATCCTATCTTGTTTGAATAAGAGGTACCTTGTTAATGAAAGTAATCTTGAGAGTGATCTGCTCACATAATGAAACTGTACAGAAGTGACCATCTTGTTTGCACAGCTTATCTTGATCTTACTTGTAGTTTGAAGTAGTTTGCACAAGATCTGATCTTGTTTGATCGTTCAGAGTAAGAGGTGGAGGATCTTGTTAGGCAACGTTATCTTGAGTGTGTGTGATCCGCGTCATGATGATACGAACTGTGAATGGTATCCTGTTCACACGTGTTATCTGGTTTACTCCTTATTCCTGCAGTTAAGGATCTTGTTTGTTTCCCAACAAATATCATGATCACACACACACACACACACACACACACAAATACACACAGAGAAAAGTGTGTGTGTGTGTGTGTTAAACATGTTTAGTTTGTCGTATTTTTTCACATAAATCATGAAAAAAAATTCTCAGTTTTTTAAAATCACCTAAAATCGTTTTATTTTATTTTATTTGTTGATGTTTTTTTAACTTTAGTGGACAAACAGCCTCTCAGCTCTGACCCTTCACAATAAAAGCCTCCTTGTGTTTAAATCATGAAGGTCAGTGAAACGGTGATAATCAGCTGATCTGCAGACAAATCAAATGTCAGATTTCACTCTCATCAGACATTCAGAAGCTCGTATTTACGGCTGCCAGGTGTCAGTGAAGGCGTCACGCTCCGACTCTTTGTTCTGGTTTCAGATCCAGTTTCTCATGTTTCAAATTAAAGATGAAGAATAAAACCAGTTTCTGTGTTGAAGCTGGTTCACATCAGTCTCATTAATAACCTGTTTATTTTATATTTAATGAGGTAGAAATAAAAGAGTCTCTCATATTAGAGTCTCATAAAAAAGAGAATAAATTTAGCAGGAAAACAGATCATCTATTTTATTTAAAGGTCACACGTCTTCATCTGTTTGTTCCTTAATCCTTTTTTTTTACTGTTTTTACAAACTGAACAAGTGAAATAACTTCATATTCATTTTATTTTTAAATGTGATTTAAAGATTTTGTTCTTGAAGACGGTGGAAAAAAAAGGCCACAAACTCAAAACTGAAGCTCTGAGAATATTTTATATTTTTAGGAAAGTTTTTGTTTGATTTTCTTTTTCTTTTTTTATATTGGGCAGATAATTTTAACCAAAATGTAATAAATTAAAAAAAATAAACATTTGTAGGTTAATAATGGAATAAAAAGATCTGATGGTTAATCAGTCCATCTCTGGATTCAGCCCAAAATTCAATATTTGTTTTATTTATTTGAAGCTGCTGTATTCTCCTAAATAATCTGTGTTTTTATATTTAAAGATTTAAATTAATTTCTTGTCTTTTTTGGATGAAACTCTAAAACTCGATTCTTCGGCCGTTCGGCTCCTCTCGGCTCTTCGGCTCTTCCTGTTGGCGGTTGTGTCTCCGCTTCGGGGATCATGTTGGCGGATAATTAGCGGATAATTACAGGATGATTAGAGACATTTCACGGCTCCGCGGCCAAAATGTGTGAAAAAGCTTCAGATCAAAGTGAAATCTGTCGGGATGTGTTCAGGTTCACGGAGCGGCGGCGGAGGTTACAGCCCACAAAGACGCTCCAAATCCGGGGACAGTGGCGGCGCTTTGAGGCGCTTTGAGGCCGCAGGAGGTGCTCCGTGTTCGGCTTGTTCGACTGCGAGACGGAGGCGGGAGAGCCGAGCGGGAGCCGAGCGCTGCCGGCCACACCCGAGTCCCAGCTCCTCCGGCACAGAGACACGGGGAGGAGAAGAGAGGAGTTTAAGGAGTTTAAGGAGAGGTAAGGAGGTACAAATTAAAAAACAAAAACACAAAAGAGAAAAAAAAAAGACGAGAAAAGAAGAAAACAGAAGATTCAAAATAAAACAGCGCGAGTCAAACCGGAAAAAGAGGCGGGAAACGGACATAAACAAGCAAAACACGTTATTATTATTATTATTATTATTGTTATTATAACTATTATTATTATTATTGTTATGATTGTTGTTGTTATTATAACTATTATTATTATTATTATAAAAAAAAGCCTAATAATAAGATTATTGTTAGTTGTATTATTATTATATTATTAAAGATAGGCCTAATATTATTATTATCATTATGAATAGGCCTAATAATATCAATATGTCATTATTATTATTACTAATATTACTAAATCTATGCTCTGAATTAACAGACAAAAGAACCACAAATTCTAAACCCGTTACATCAGGTTACGTTTCTTTTTTCTGACTCAATGATTTTTACGGTTTTTAGACATTTTCTCAGATTTTAACAATCTGCAATAATAAAACATGAAAATATGGAGTTTATTCTTTTTAGCTCCACGTAAACAAATAAAAACCTTTAGGTAATTTTATTCACACCGTTTGTCCCTGAAAGACTTTGTTTTATTCGCCAATTTTATTCCCACCAAATCAGTGAATTTACAACGAAGAATAAAAATACGTAAAAATACAAACTGAGCCGAACAAACCTGCCGATAAAGACAGAGAGAGAGGAGCTGTGTATTAGATATACTTACCAATATATAAATCAGAATCAATAATCAGAGAGGAGGTCGTGTGAGTGAAGGTTTGGACGTTTGTGTTTTATTTGAAAATGACAGAATAAGTTAAGAAGAAGAAGAAGAAGAAGAACATGCAGCAGAGTCGACAGAAACAAACACACGGAGGAGGAGGAAGAGGAGGAGGACGAGGACGACGGGGCTTTTTGTCTTTTTGCACATTTAACCTTCTTTCTTTCCTTCCTTCCTTTCCTCCTCTCCTTTCCTCCTCTCCTTTCTTCCTCTCCTTTTCTTTCCTTCCTGCAGCCTCGTTGGGAGACGATGAGAAGGAGGAAGAGGAGGAGGTTCGGACACAGAGAAGAGTAGAAGAAGAAAAAGACGATGACCTCGGGCTTCATTCATGCACATGGTAATAATAATCAATAATCAATAATCAGAGTGATGGATTCACAGAGAGGATTCATCAACAGTCAGGAACAGACAGGGAGTGGTTTCTCCTTTTACACACCGAGTGAGAGTCCACAAACAAAGATCCTCTCCGAGCGCAGCGTTCACCGGAACAGTCCGTGAATTTACTTCACTTTGATCATCAATACTTTTATTGATTAGGTCTTTAAATAAACCCGATCACCTCTAGAGATCCTGGATTCATATTTTAAAGCTCTGAGGAAATCGGCGCTGACTGAGCCCTGAGTTTGGTCTGCAGGTCATCAGGTCACGTTCAGCTTTAATCACAGACTGATCAATTAAAAAAACAGCAGAAATAATGATATTGATTATTGAGATGATGTTAACGAAAGAGTCTCCCTCTCTGAGCTCGAACAGCGTTAACGCTCCGTCAGCAGGAGTCCAGAGTCGTATCAATAACGGGATCGAATGATTACAAACTGATCAATATCGCTCTGACTGAACTAGAGTTGGTGGTTTTTACAGTTTAGAGTCCAGGAGGCCTGAAGACTCCCAGAACCTGGACTTAAACACAGAACCAGAACCGAGCAGATCCTCTCTGTTATCAGGTCAGGATGAAACAAAAACAGGATCTAAAATCAGAAACTCTTCGTCCTCCTCAGAGTTTGACTTCAGCTCGACCGCCGTGCCGACCGCCGCGCCGACCGCCGCGCCGACCTCTCTGTTCCTGTTTATTCAGATTTTTAATGTTTTTCTCTGAAGAGACCGAGCGTCCCTGACGTCTCGTCTCGGTTCACGGACAGACTCCTGTCCTGGTTTCTGTGGTTTCGGACAAATATCTGAAGGTCGAGTCGACTTTTATTTTGCACCATGACGGTTTGTTTGTTTGTTTGTTTGTTTGTTTGTTTGTTTGTTTGTTTGTTTGTTTGTTTGTCTGCCGTCAGGACGCTCTGAAAAAAAGACCTGAAACCTCCGAGAGTTTAAGGATAAATCTGAACAGATCGATGTTTTTTAACTCACTCTCACGTCGGACCTCCTGCTCTCCTCTTTGACTCTCACTGACCCTGAAACACGAACAGAAACGTCGATTTAACGGAGAATAAAACACGAACGCGCTCCCATGAGGCGGAGTCTGATCTGTGTTTCAGTAAAACGGCGAGACGATCCGACAAACGAGAGGCGGGAGAGTTCGTGTCCGTCTGATTTGAGTGAACTGACCCTTTAAATGAAAAGCCCCCTGATCTCTGTGTGTGTGTGTGTGTGTGTGTGAGGGGTCATGACCTCTCAGCAGGTCAGCTGGGGGTCAGACGAGGTCGTGGGAGAAATAAACGCTCGTCATATTTCTGATCAAAATACACAAATTTGAATCTTAATCTGCCGCCGTCTCCATGACAACAGCATCATCATCAGAGGCGTTGGCTGTGACCTTTGACCCTAAACTCACGAACAGACAAAGACCTCAAACAGAAACTCTCTACGGCCTTTACATGAGGGGTTCTCAACCTGTGGTTCAGGGTCCTTTCTGGGGCCTCAGAGTGATCGATTAACGCCGACTCATCAGAGTCTTTTTGAAGTCGACAGATCGCATCAAACATTTCTGAGGACCTGTTAGAGGACAGTCTCTTCCTGTCAGAATCTGGTTCTGATCCAGGGTTTGAGGTGAATGGTTCTGATTCTGTACGGCAGAATTTCCTGTCGGGTCGGTGAAATAAAGGGGTGGGAGGAAAAATCGATTCATACGTGTCGCAATTTTTAGTTTTACAATTTTTGAGTAAATATTTCTGTTCAAAAATCATTTTTTAAATTTCAAATGTGAGAATAAATGTTAAAGACTGACCGACATGTGACGTGCTGTTTTGGGTAAATCTGTTTCCTGTAATAATCAGAATCATAATCATTGATCTGTTTCACTGGAGTTAAAAATGCAGAATAAAAATCGTCAATATCGTAGAATCGCAATTTAAATCGAATCGGAATCCAAGAAATCGTAAAAGAATCGAGTCGGGATAAAAACAGATCGTCACGGTGAAATATCGAAGCAGGAGGAAACGCCGTTTTCAGACCTGAACCGTGGCGGAAACGCCGGCGCTCCTCCTGCCTTGATCACGAAACTCTGACGGCCCGAGGAGTCATGTGATCACTGGACTTAAGTGAACCAGGAACTGGACTAAAGTGAACCAGGTCCTGGACTAAAGTGAACCAGGTCCTGGACTAAAGCGAACCAGGTCCTGGACTAAAGGGGCTCTTCATGGAAACCAGGGCTGGTTCAGGCAAGCCACAAAGTCAGACTCCGCCCACAGCAGATCAGCTGATCACCGTCTCCCAGCCGGCCTACTCTTCCTCTGCAGACCACTTTGCACCCCGCCTCCCCCCCAGTTAGGCTCAGGCTGGGATCTCCCAGACCAGGCGGATTACGGACAGCGGTAATCGCGATCAGCTGAGGAGTCCGGCGATCCGCAGAGGAACGGAAAGAAGTCGGTGTAAATCGACACGTTAACTTGAATGGTTACGATCAGCTACGATCGGAGGATACGACCTTTTAGGAGACCATCAGGATGAAGGTGGAGATTGAGGGTAAGTCCGCTGTCAGGAACCCGAGCCGGCTCAGGAGAGACCTCTTTGTCGGACTCATCCGGATGTTTTTTAGCGGAAGAGTTTTAGGGGCCTGTTGAGAAAACCGATCCCCTAACACCACCTTCAGACCTGATCCCTTTCCTCTCTAAAGACCCTGAAACCTGCTCACCTAAACCCCTAAGAAACCTCCAGCAGAGTCACCCCACAAGGGGGATCCTCCTGGACTCTGGTCCTGACCTGAATCTTGAGTTCTGGATGTTTGTGACTCGGTGGTTAAAAGGAGAACACAGACCTGGGACCTCTTTAAACAGCTGTTAGTCTCTTTGTGTCCTGGTTTTGGTCACAGTGCAGGAGTTCAGAAACCAGCAGACCAGCAGTGGCGGGTCGATCCGGTTCAGCATCATCACAGTCAGACAGGAAGTCCAGGACGGCTGCATGCAGATAGTAGGAGTCCGAACAGGAAGTGCAGCGGCTACGAGGTGTTGAGGAGCGGTCTGGGATACACCCCCTGGTAGTACGAGGCCTCCAAAGACTCCATGGTCCTCCCGCCGAGGCCGGATGCCCCCCCAGCACCGTAGGAGGAGTACTGCAGCGCCTCGTAGGCCTTCAGGTCCAGTTTGTGCTGCTGCTCCGAGGACGACATTAAGTTATTGATGGAGAACGGGTGGTTGAAGGAGTAGTGGGGGTCCCCCTTCAGGTGGAGCTGGGACTCGTGCCCCATGGAGTGGGGGGGTAAGGACAGGGAGGACAGGAGCTGGGAGCCGGACACCTTCAGGTCCGACGCCGTGCTCACGCCTCCCCGCAGGTCCAGGCCGGGAGGGGAAGCCTGGCTGGAGGAGGGCAGGGAGGAGGAGTCCAGGAGTCCCGAAGATTTGATGGCGTCTCCAGAGGGGGACGCTCCTCCCCCTCCCGCCCCCGTCTCCTTCCTGCCCTCGGGTTTCAGCGACATCTTCTTCTCGCACTTGAACCTCTTCTGGCGGCGCAGGTAGCAGCCGTTCTCAAACATGTTCCCGGAGTCCGGGTGCAGGGTCCAGTACGACCCTTTCCCCGGTTTGTCCGGCGAGCGCGACACCTTGACGAAGCAGTCGTTGAAGGACAGCGAGTGCCGGATGGAGTTCTGCCAGCGCTGCTGGTTCTGCCGGTAGTACGGGAACAGGTCCATGATCCACTGGTAGATCTCGCTCAGCGTCAGCATCTTGCTGGGCGCCTGCTGGATCGCCATGGTGATAAGCGAGATGTAGGAGTACGGGGGTTTGGCGTGCGGGTAGCTCCGTCTGAACGCCTTGTTGTCACGGCTGCGGTTCAGTCCTCCGCCGCCGTACGCCATGCCGGGACTCATGGTGGGACTCATGCCCCCATAAGGGTTCAGACCCATCGAGGCCTGCTGGGCCGACACCGAGCTCATACTGGACGGGCTCAGAGCCCCGCCCATCGAGGCCACGCCCCCTCCTAGACCAGACATGGCCGCCTGAGCTGAGCCGCCCATCCCTCCCACCGGGGCGGGGCTTAGACCGGTCCCGCTGTACGACATGTTGAAGGAGCCGGATGTGGTTCCGCTGCTTGACATGTATCCGGACATGGAGCCCATCCCGAGACCAGAACCCATCCCGCCACCTGCCATTGGAGAGTACATCTGCAGAGAGACACAGACTGTTAGACCAGAACCAGAACCAGGGTCACCTGAACAGGTGAGATCAGGGTCCATCCCAGTTCTTATTTCACCTGCAGAAAGTCTAGATCAAGTTAGTCCTGAACCAGAACACCACAAGAGGACTAGTTAGACCCAGATTTATTTTACTGCAGAGACCAGATACTGAAATACAGAACCAGAACCATTTAGACCAGTTTTGGACCATGTGGACCAGATCAGGAACAGTTTGTTGTGAGTCCGTTTTTTTGAACAGGATCTTCAAGGGTCTCGGACCGGCTCCACTAACCCGGTTCAGGTCCAGTCAGACCAGATGTTTTTCAGGGTTTGACCTTTGACCTCTGATGATAATCCACGTGGTCCTGACTCGGTCCAGATCGGTACGGTCTAAAACTCGGACCGGAGCAGGTTCTCAGCTCAGTCTCCGGATCGGATCGATGGATTTGTTTCTTTGACGGAGAATTTCACTTCCTGTTTCTGAGTTCATCCATCGATCCTGATTATTGATTGATCAGCCCCCCCCCCCCCCCTTCATTAATATTATTAATTAATTAATCAATCAAATTTTTTTTTGTTTTGTTTTGTTTTTTTTTAACTCTTCGAACTCCGCTGGATCTCCGTCGATCCCTCGTGAAACCGTTAATATAGTTCACAGTTTCTCAGGATCTGTTCTGTGTTTCTCTACGGGGTAAAAAGTGATCAATAGTTTATCCTTTAGTCGATCTATCGAGGGTTTACAGACATTTCTACACCTGCCACAAGGTTTACAATCCAGCCACAAAAACAGGTGTTTGATCAGAGACGTTTGATGGTAAATCTGCAGTGAAAACAGGATTATTGATCAGACTGTTGTGATTAAAAAAGATCACTATTGTTAAATGTTGCTGATGTTTGACGAGCTGTTTTGATGATGTCTTTTCTGTCAAACTTTGGACCAATTACACGGTCTCATATTCTTCTTCTATTGTCCCCTTTGATGGTAGTGTCCAATAAGAGACAAGAAAGTTCCCTGTTTGTCTGTAAAATCAGAAATAATGTTCCTAAATGTTTGGAAACAAGTGAAGAAGAGACTCTGAGCAGGATGATGTGGTCCTCTGTCTCATCACAGAAACAACTGTAAAGAGTCAAAAACTCCTGGAAGAATGAGTGTAAATATGTCAATAGTTTCTGTTGTTTGTTCCAATCCCAATATTTCTTCTCCTGATAGACTTTAGAGGATGATGTTCAGGTGAGGAAAGGCTTGGTCGCTGTAGATTTATGTGTTTTTTTAATTAAGTTCTGTTGGGATCAGTTTCTGTTTTAGTTTCTTGGTTGACTCTGATGGTTCTGAATCTAATGTCTCATTTATTTTACATCATTTTAGCTCCATAAACTGAATCTGAGGTCGTCCTGAAATTAAAGAGATGTGTTTATATTTGCTGTGATTGAAAGGATCGAGTTGATCAGAGATTTTGACATAAAAATAATAAATAAAATAAAATAAGGCGGACCAAATAAAAAATTAAAGAAAAAGAGATTTCTGAGGTTTTAAAGCCTAAGATTAAATGCTGTAAAGTTGATCTGAAGGAGTTTTCCTCTGATTTAGAGTTCATGATGATGATCCTTCACTAACCCGTCACTCTGATAATAAACCTGTCAGATAAAATGATCATTAACTCCTTTAAACACTCAGCAGCTCCATAATCTGACTCTAACACATTTTTACTTTATTAAATAAAATCTAAGAATATTTTTTCAGGATAAAACATCAGATTTAATTTGACACTGAAAGAGTTTTTCTCTTTATTTGGATTTTTTTTTTATTAAACTGCAGCAGATCTGAGATCAGTCTGAGCAGAAAAAACAGGTTCAAGTCTGACCCGGATCAGGGCCCGGATCAGGCCCCAGATCAGGGCCCCGCACAGGTACCATCACCTGAGTGAACCCTTCCCCCCCTTCATGTCCATTTAATGTGTTTTTTATCCAAATCAAAGATGTTTTTTTAACAGACCCACAGAGAGAAACTCCAACATTTCAGCAGCAGATACAGAAAATAAAAATCAGCAGATTTTAGAGACAAAAAAAAGACAAAAATTAAAATATAAAGAAACTTTAAATGAGATAAATATGATGTTTAATGTTGATGTGATTCTGAGCCTGGAACAGTCTGATCGGCGCTGATTTCTCCCCCAGAGACAGACGGACTTTTTATTGAATCTCTAAAACATTAAACTCGTTTATTAATCTGTCAGATTATTGACATTAATCAATAATCTTTATTAACGAAGTCAAATTATTTCATGAGGCTGATTTTTTACATTCCTGCAGAAACACGACCTGATGTTTTTATTCGCATTTATTTTTTTCGATGTTTTATTTGAACTTTGTTGAAAAAAAAAAAAACATTTCTTTGTTGTTTTTTTTCCTAATTTCTGCGGATTAAGTGGATTTTGAAGCTCGGGTCACTCCGGCTGTCCCTCCGCCGCTCTCAGAGATAATCTGATCAATTATGATCATGAAGTTATCAGG